TGAATACCTGTTGCGGGTATACAGCCGAATCACCTGTATAACCTTCAACTGCGCTAATGTTTCCTCAAGATGCACCTCAGTGAGAACTTTTTGCAACTGTGCAGACAGCAGCCTCCTACATTCTTCAGCGGCAGAGGGGCCTGGAACTTCATCATCTGCCATGGTGGATGAGCTACCTTTTCTGGTAAATACAGGGCCATTTCTCTTTCTCACAGGAAAATGGCAGCTGCAGACCCGAGTGTTGCCACTAGTTTCCGGTCCGCACATCCAAAAGACAAAAAAATAAGTACATTTTACTAGGTAACTAGGTTGATTAATAAAATGGTAACATCTATATTTAAATACCATAACCCACAGACTTGACTATAGTAACGGTAAAATAGACTGGTCTTGGGTCTATCTGCACATCTAAAATCCTATTATGTGGATGGGACATTTCTGCTGGGATGGAGGAATTATCTGGAATGTTCAACTAGATGATCGGGACAGTCTAGGGTACTATTTGCTCGAAGTGGTTAAGTATTGCAATGAGCTATATGACTGTACTTATGATTCTAATTCTCAAGAGGAACGTTAAAACCCTCAGCCGTGAGGTCACTGAGGAGGACCAACAGTGGTAGGGGATTGTCTGAAAGGGACTGACATTCAGGGACGGAACATAAGGATTTTGGGCACTGGCCAGAAGACCACGATATCTACTAGCCCGGGTAACATTCAGTTCCTAAATCTGTGGCACACAATATTTGTAAAGGCAAGAAATACACTGTATCAATTATTTACATGAGAAACTAAAAAGATTATAATATATCTACTTGCTATGTTACTTGCTACTTGTCGATGAGAGTTTGGATGGAGAAATTTGGAGTTTTTTCCCCACCCAGCACCTTAAGTGATTATTATTTATTCTTCTTCCTCCTTCTGTTATATCATGGCGATACGCAAACAAACGTTTAAGGTGCATGCTGCCACCTACTGTGCTAGAGTGTGCGATCAATACAGGTCTGCCTAATTCTGAACTACTAAGCTAATACAATTTTAAAAACCAAATAAATCCCTACTAACTTCTACCACATCCCCTCCCCCCAAAAGCCCTCCCAAGCCCCCCAAAACATTAAACATGATCTATATCATGCTGAAACAATCCACATTTGGGATTATTCTGCATGTCTACAACCATATCAACAGTAACATCTGTTACCCCCAATAACCTTAAACCTGGCATTGCTGCTTTCCACAACCAGAGTCGTGTTGATAACCTTTACAATGAAAGCTATGAAGTTAACTTTATTCACTATCAAAGTATCCTTTGTCTCAGCACATTCATGAGCGCAAGATTTCTGAACAGGTCTCGAAAACCATGCCAGGACCAGCAGAAGCACCAGTGCTGACATTAGGTCCACTTAGTACAGGAGCAGCCATGGAAGCTCCATCATTCCGCACTGTAGCTCCACCAATCTATTTTCAAATCAAATCAAATCAAATTATATTGGCCACATGCGCCGAATACAACAGGTGCAGAAATTACAGTGAAATGCTTACTTACAGCCCTTAACCAACAGTGCATTTATTTTTTATAAAAAAGTAAAATAAAACAACAACAAAAAAGTGTTGAGAAAAAAAGAGCAGAAGTAAAATAAAATAACAGTAGGGAGGCTATATATACAGGGGGGTACCGGTGCAGAGTCAATGTGCGGGGGGCACCGGCTAGTTGAGGTAGTTGAAGTAATATGGGGACAGTGGGGAGAACAAGTATTTGATACACTGCCGATTTTGCAGGTTTTCCTACTTACAAAGCATGTAGAGGTCTGTAATTTTTATTATAGGTACACTTCAACTGTGAGAAAATCCAGAAAATCACATTGTATGATTTTTAAGTAATTAATTTGCATTTTATTGCATGACATAAGTATTTGATCACCTACCAACCAGTAAGAATTCCGGCTCTCACAGACCTGTTAGTTTTTCTTTAAGAAGCCCTCCTGTTCTCCACTCATTACCTGTATTAACTGCACCTGTTTGAACTTGTTACCTGTATAAAAGACACCTGTCCACACACTCAATCAAACAGACTCCAACCTCTCCACAATGGCCAAGACCAGAGAGCTGTGTAAGGACATCAGGGATAAAATTGTAGACCTGCACAAGGCTGGGATGGGCTACAGGACAATAGGCAAGCAGCTTGGTGAGAAGGCAACAACTGTTGGCGCAATTATTAGAAAATGGAAGAAGTTCAAGATGACGGTCAATCACCCTCGGTCTGGGGCTCCATGCAAGATCTCACCTCGTGGGGCATCAATGATCATGAGGAAGCTGAGGGATCAGCCCAGAACTACACGGCAAGACCTGGTCAATGACCTGAAGAGAGCTGGGACCACAGTCTCAAAGAAAACCATTAGTAACACACTACGGCGTCATGGATTAAAATCCTGCAGCGCACGCAAGGTCCCCCTGCCAGCGCATGTCCAGGCCCATCTGAAGTTTGCCAATGACCATCTGGATGATCCAGAGGAGGAATGGGAGAAGGTCATGTGGTCTGATGAGACATGTGGTCTGATGAGACCACTCGCCGTGTTTGGAGGAAAAAGAAGGATGAGTACAACCCCAATTACACCATCCCAACCGTGAAGCATGGAGGTGGAAACATCATTCTTTGGGGATGCTTTTCTGCAAAGGGGACAGGACGACTGCACCGTATTGAGGGGAGGATGGATGGGGCCATGTATCGCGAGATCTTGGCCAACAACCTCCTTCCCTCAGTAAGAGCATTGAAGATGGGTCGTGGCTGGGTCTTCCAGCATGACAACGACCCGAAACACACAGCCAGGGCAACTAAGGAGTGGCTCCGTAAGAAGCATCTCAAGGTCCTGGAGTGGCCTAGCCAGTCTCCAGACCTGAACCCAATAGAACATCTTTGGAGGGAGCTGAAAGTCCGTATTGTCCAGCGACAGCCCCGAAACCTGAAGGATCTGGAGAAGGTCTGTATGGAGGAGTGGGCAGTGCAAATAGTCCGGGTAGCCATGATTAGCTGTTCAGGAGTCTTATGGCTTGGGGGTAGAAGCTGTTGAGAAGTCTTTTGGACCTAGACTTGGCACTCCAGTACCGCTTGCCGTGCGGTAGCAGAGAGAACAGTCTATGACTAGGGTGGCTGGAGTCTTTGACAATTTTATAATATAATATATAATATGACATTTAGCAGATGCTTTTATCCAAAGCGACTTACAGTCATGTGTGCATACATTTTTACGTATGGGTGGTCCCGGGGATCGAACCCACTACCCTGGCGTTACAAGTGCCATTCTCTACCAATTGAGCTACAGAAGACCACAATTTTGAGGGCCTTCCTCTGACACCGCCTGGTATAGAGGTCCTGGATGGTAGGAAGCTTGGCCCCAGTGATGTACTGGGCCGTACACACTACCCTCTGTAGTGCCTTGCGGTCAGAGGCCGAACAGTTGCCATACCAGGCGGTGATGCAACCAGTCAGGATGCTCTCGATGGTGCAGCTGTAGAATTTTTTGAGGATCTGAGGACCCATGCCAAATCTTTTCAGTCTCCTGAGGGGGAATAGGCTTTGTCGTGCCCTCTTCACGACTGTCTTGGTGTGTTTGGACCATGATAGTTCGTTGGTGATGTGGACACCAAGGAACTTGAAGCTCTCAACCTGTTCCACTACAGCCTCGTCGATGAGAATGGGGGCGTGCTCAGTCCTCTTTTTTTTCCTGTAGTCCACAATCCTCTCCTTTGTCTTGGTCACGTTGAGGGAGAGGTTGTTATCCTGGCACCACACGGCCAGGTCTCTGACCTCCTCCCTATAGGCTGTCTCATCGTTATCGGTGATCAGGCCTACCACTGTTGTGTCGTCTGCAAACTTAATGATGGTGTTGGAGTCATGCCTGGCATGGGTGAACAGGGCGTACAGGAGGGGACTGAGCACGCACCCCTGAGGGGCCCCCGTGTTGAGGATCAGTGTGGCAGATGTGTTGTTACCTACCCTTACCACCTGGGGGCGGCCCGTCAGGAAGTCCAGGATCCAGTTGCAGAGGGAGGTGTTTAGTCCCAGGATCCTTAGCTTAGTGATGAGCTTTGAGGGCACTATGGTGTTGAATGCTGAGCTGTAGTCAATGAATAGCATTCTCACGTAGGTGTTCCTCTTGTCCAGGTGGGAAAGGGCAGTGTGGAGTGCAATAGAGATTGCATCATCTGTGGATCTGTTGGGGCGGTATGCAAATTGGAGTGGGTCTAGGGTTTCTGGGATAATGGTGTTGATGTGAGCCATGACCAGCCTTTCAAAGCACTTCATGGCTACAGGTTGGTAGTCATTTAGGCAGGTTATCTTAGTGTCCTTGGGCACAGGGACTATGGTGGTCTGCTTGAAACATGTTGGTATTACAGACTCAGTCAGGGACATGTTGAAGACACTTGCCAGTTGGTCAGCACATGCTCAGAGTACACGTCCTGGTAATCCGTCTGGCCCTGCGGCCTTGTGAATGTTGACCTGCTTAAAAGTCTTACTCACATCGGCTACGGAGAACGTGATCACATAATCATCCGGAACAGCTGGTGCTCTCATGCATGCCTCTGTATACGATACATCATGACTGATTCTATATCTCTGAGCCTCTCTCCACACCTGGCATCCACCAAATGTTGCACTATGTTCCCCCTAAGAATCACAAGACTTAACCTTCACATTGCTCCCACATTCACCAAGAGTGATTAAGTCAAAGCTTGTGACAGGATGTGTAGGGCTATATGATAGCCACAATAGCAGTTAATTAGCGTTTAATTTTGGGGGGGGTAATTACAGGCGAATATATTTATAAAAGTGACCTTCTCCGAGAGAGATTTCCACGGCTATCAAAACGTCACGCCGGGGTAAGCCTACACGAAACACAGGCCTTGTATGAGGTAGATCTAAAATCCTCTACGGAAAAATGAATGGTGGAAAAACGATTGGAACCATTTCCGGGTTTTACCGCTAGGTTTTATGGGTATTATGACGCGTCCACTGTGTCTGGACTATAGACAGTACTTTAATTAGCATAGCAACGCCTGAGGTCTGTAACCACGACACAGGTATTTTGCCCAACGGAATAGCTACATTCGGTAAGATAAACATCAAACACTGCAGCGTTTTGTTTCCGAACCAATTGAATCGTGTATTATTAGCTAGCTATAGCATCCTTCAACCTCATTCTCTCGGCTAGCTAACAGTCAGTAGTAGCTAGATAGCTAACCAGCCAGCTCTTTCCAGCAGCTCTTCTAGCTAGCTAAAGTACTGTAATTCTCTGTTTTTATCAATTGGCAAGAATGCCAAGATGGTACAAGTTAACAGTATAAGTTATATAGTGAGCTGGCTAGTTGTGCATTCACAAGTAGCTTGCTATACGCCCAAATTGACAGTAACTTACTGACAGGTATTTGATCTAACTACTGTAGCTAGCTAACGTTAGCTCGTAGTAGCTAGCTAACATGGTGGTGCCAGTGAATCAGCTAGTAAGCTAAAAGATGCGATTCATGTTCGCTAGCTAGCTAACGTTAGCGACCTTGGGAGACAGGAGTAAATTGCTGCACAGTCCAGTTTGTTAGACGCCAAATTGCTTGTGCAATGCATTCACCAGGGCCCGGTTTCCCAAAAGCATCTTAAGGCTAAGTTCGTCGTTGGGAAACTGGGCCCAGTTCTCTGGAAACATGGTGCTGATATTAACTTAGTTCAAGATTCAAGATTTTGTCATATCAGAAGTTATTCCTATGAAACCTGCTCATACACTTTCTCTGTCTTATCACCTTGCTAGATATGGCTGAGCCGGAGCTTCTGCTGGATTCCAATATCAGACTTTGGGTGGTTTTGCCCATTGTCTTCATCACTTTCCTTGTTGGGGTGATTCGACATTATGTCTCCATTCTGCTTCAGAGTGACAAGAAACTGACGTTAGAGCAGGTATCAGACAGGTAAGGGTATTGGAAGCATGTAGGCCTAGATGGACGGTGCATTGACAGTTTATAAAAGGGCTTGAGAGCATGTAGGGTTAAAGTAGAAATGTCTTACCCTGAGTTTGTTTTGACATATTCCTCTCCAATATTCAGCCAGGTTCTCATCAGGAGCAGAATCCTCAGAGAGAATGGGAAGTACATTCCAAAACAGGTGAGATCAATGTTGGATTGACCATAAAACGCCACACATCTTCGCTTCTTTGCACTGTTTGACTCTGCTACGTAAAAAAAAAAAAAGTGTATACTGGTTGCGCTCAGACTTTGAGACCTCTCTTTTTCTTCAGTCATTCTTGATGAGGAAGTTTTACTTCAATAATCAAGAAGATGGATTCTTCAAAAATACCAAAAGAAAGGTTGTTCCTCCCTCCCCAATGACAGGTGAGCGTAAGATAATCATATCATACCTTCTCATATAATCCTATTCTCATACCATGATAGGCAGGTATTGGGCCGTGTATCTCTATATTAAACCCTGACACATGATATGGAGTATATTACTTCTGATAGTGCACCAATTACAACTCAGTTTGTTTGGGATTGCACTCTGTAAAGCTACATTAACTGTTTCTTTGTCCAGACCCCAGCATGCTGACAGACATGATGAAAGGCAACGTGACCAATGTGCTTCCCATGATCCTCATCGGAGGCTGGATTAACTGGACCTTCTCAGGGTTTGTCACAAGTAAGTAACATCCTCCTCGCTCACTGCACTGAGACTGGGTTGTTTGGATGATGATTGTCACTAAAGAGCTTCGATATCAACTTTATTTTATGGTACAGGAATGACCAGGTATTTACTAAGAAATGGCATGGTAAAATTGTTATTACATAGAAATAACCGATAAATAGCAGTAGTATATAATTAAGTGCTTCCAGTTAGTTTCTTTGCTATAAGCAGTTTGTTCAACATTTGCACAGACTGTGGTTTTATATAAATGACCAAACTTACAATGTTCTCAATAACTATTTTCTTGTTCCTCACAGCCAAGGTTCCTTTTCCTCTCACCCTGCGCTTCAAGCCCATGTTGCAACAAGGAATCGAGCTACTCTCACTTGATGCTTCCTGGTTAGTTGATGAAATACATACTTATTACATTATCTGGGTTCCGTGACGTTAATATGGTAATACTGCCTCTGAGTCCTTTTGCTAGTGTAAGCATTGATGATTTATAACCTCACCCTCATTTCTGTTTTAAGGGTGAGCTCAGCGTCGTGGTATTTCCTGAACGTGTTTGGGCTGCGAAGCATGTACTCCTTAATTTTAGGACAAGATAATGGTAATTTTCATCCAACTTCATAATTCAGTTTAGTTTTTCCTGCAAAGGTTATTGATGCATGTGTTTCTGTAAACTAGATGTGACATTATTGAATCATAGTTTGTAACCAACTTACAGCAGTACTTGTTATCAAAAGCAATAAACAGAAGGTCATTGACCTGATTTGAGGAAACAACAAAATTATTTGGAGAAATTAGACTTCTAGTAGGCAAGCGGTCTTGCCTTGATTTGATAATAGGCCAGTCTGCAACCAGTCAGTGTCATGTCAGCAGCAAGGCTGGTTATAATTGGAACATGACTCCATAATCTAATCAAATCAAATTGTATTTGTCACATAAACGTGTTTAGTAGATGTTATAGCGGGTGTAGCAAAATGCTTGTTGAAGTGGCAGGCCTCCAATACTTCACAGTCCTGGTTTTGTCACGCCAAAGCGATATGAAGTATCAATAGTGTTGATGCTGGTTTAATGTGACCCATGCAGGTGCAGACCAGTCCAGGATCATGCAGGAGCAGATGAGTGGTGCTGCCATGGCCATGCCTGCAGACACCAACAAAGCGTTCAAGGTAGAGTTGTCTACTCTTGATAACATCGACTTACTCTCTATGGTGAATTCAATTCCTACAGGTCCCAGCAGAATCATCTGACAGACAGTTGTTTATTTCCCCATTTTAGGCAGAATGGGAGGCACTTGAGCTAACTGACCACCAGTGGGCGCTGGAGAATGTTGAGGAGGAGCTCATGAGCAGGGAACTGGATCTGGATGGAATGTTCAGTAAGGAGTTACCAACGGGTATCTTCTGATTGCCAGTTCATTACTGCAGGGAACCTGCCGCTGGACAACATTTTAGTTTTACTTAAAGTGGCTGACTTGGAGTTTCTCTAGGAAATGACATAGAGAACGATATCTACATTCATTTCAGTGCCATCATTGTCCATTTACATTTAATTGTAGATTAATTAACAGAACATTATAGTACGGAGTTCAGTTAATAATTTAAACTATTTGAAAGATTCAGCCTCAGCTATGTAAAACTCATTACAAAAAAAAAACGTTAATGTTAAAAACATTTTTTTTTAAAGGTGAATGAAAATGTGTTGTGTCACCACTTTGAATCATGTTTGACTTTGTAGTCTGATTCCACCTACCTGCCATTTGTTTGGTCATACTTGTTGGTTATTTGTGAGCTTATTGAAGAAAAGAAAAAAGTGTAATATTATTAGTAACTCAACCCATTTGTAATAGGTGGCTCTTAGCAACATAAGACAACTAGCTGTTGAAGTAAAAAAACAAAAACAAAACATGGTTATTGCTGATGATTAAATTCCAGTTAATCTTTTATCATTCCTCTTTCAGTTTGTGTGCAGCATCAGCAGCTTCTTGTCATGGCTGACATGAGGCAAATCTAGACATTGAGTGCTGGAAAACAACTGTGTGTGATAGTGTTATGCAATGTGTTATTTTTAATATTTATTTCTCCAATTTATTTTTTAACATTTCCCTTGTGTTTTTGTATAAAGACTGTTTTGACTAAATCGCTGTGGAGTTTTATTCCCTCTTAATTGCAAAGAGACACAAGGAACCCAGTTGTCATGGCAATGGCTTGGCACCTTTCTGAAGACAGCAAACACAGAAGGCATCATTTAGCTACCTGACTTGTGAACGTTTAACCTACGAAAATATGAAGCAAAGTATTTGTTTACGAAGTTGATAATAATTGTATCTAGTTACAAAAAATGTAGAAGTTGCTGCTACTTTAGTGGAGCCCTCTACCGTCGAGCTCCAGCAACTTTCTGCGGATTCTACTAAATAACACAGCCACAAAGTCAAAATTGGTTAGGTTTAGAAAGGAATGGAATTTTAGAAATAGAGGGGGTTAATGAATTTGTGGCTGTAGTAACTAGTGACGACCCCCAGATCACGGAAACCGCAAGTCTCACCAACATTGTGTTGCTCGTGCATCCGCGGTTCTTCTACTGCGCGCTCACGACTCCGGTTCACTCACTGCATGATGGCGGAGGGAGGCGGACCCGAGTCGGGTAGCTCGGCAGACTCCGATCCTGAGTCTGTAGCCGCTCAAATACCGACACCTTCAACCGACAGTCAAAAACAGTGTATCGGAACACTTCTCAAAACAACTCTACGAAAGAGCGACGAGTGGTAAGGAAGTGTTTTGAATGTAACTTTAGCAGATAGTTAGCCATTAGCTACGGTAACGTTAGCTAGGCTAGCCAGCGAGCTACTTTTCAGTTAATGGGAACTAGCTAGGTAACGTTAGCCAGCAAGCTAGCGAGTAGCTTAGGCCTGTCAGAGACGGGTAAACCGGTTCCCATTGAACAGGAAATCGTTTGATTTGTGAAGTTAGTTGGGGCAGAGTAGACGTGACTAACGTTAACAAGCTAACGGTACTTCTCACCCGATAGTTACTGGAACTAGTGCAACCTAGCTAGCTATCTAGTTGTAGTTAGTTAATAACTACTGTTAGCTAGCCAGCAAGCTATTCAAGCGAAGGCATTGCGCAAGTTAACCCTGTCTACTCACATTAGCTTGCTGGCCGGTAACTAGTTACGACATGACGAGGTGTAGTCAAAAGGCCCCTGTTCAATGCGATAACGAGTGACTGCGAAGAAATGTTACGCAGCTACCTATTTTAGAAGCTAGCTAGCTAATGCTTTGTCATTGGAACTGGATAACACCCAGCGACTGGCGCTCTCATATATTCAGTTGCCAAGGCCACAGGTTTCCAGACAAGATCTTTGCGAGGTTTTAACTTTAACTAGCCAAATCCATACTGAACAGCAAGGGAAGGGAACCAACCAATGTGGGCTCAGTAGAGTTAGGCTAACCAGACAGGCACTACCAGTACATGTGACTATTAAACACTAAATCTCTGAACCAGTTGTCTTGAGACAGCAGGCTGCCGGGTCATAACGTTGTGTTTGTTATGGTACATACATCTAGATAGCTAAATTCACAACATGTTTATTTAACTCAAGTAAGCAATCATTTTAGTTGGGCTCGATGGCAAGTTTGATATACTCTTGGGGCAAGGCTACAGACAATTTCGATTGTTTTGGCCTCCCAGTCTGTCTAAACAGGGTAATGTCAGCTGGGTAGGTGCTTTTAGCAACGCAGTGCCTTCAGAAAGTATTCACACCCCTTTACCTTTTCCACATTTTGTTGTGTTACAGCCTGATTTTAAAATCGATTAAATTTAGATTTTGTGCCACTGATCTACACACAATACCCAATAATGTCAAAGTGAAATGTAGTTTGTAGAACATTTTTAAAAATATTAATACAAAATTAAAAGCTGAAATGTCTTGCGTCAAAGTATTCAACCCCTTTGTTATGGCAAGCCTAAGTAAGTTTGAATAAAAATGTGCTTAACAAATTGCATAAGATGCATGGACTCATTTTGTGTTAAATAATTGCGGTTAACATGATTTTTCGAATAACTACTCGATATCTGTACCCCACACATACAATTATCTGTAAGGTCCCTCAATCGAGTAGTGAATTTCAAGCACAGATTCAACCAGAAAGACCAGGGATGTTTTCCAATGCCTCGCAAAGGGCACCTATGGGTAGATGGGTAAAAAAAAAAGCAGACATTGAATATCCCTTTGAGCATGGTGAAGTTATGAATTACACTTTGGATGAGGTATCCCATGTGGTCCCCTGTAGCTCAGTTGGTAGAGCATGGCGCTTGCAACACCAGGGTTGTGGGTTCGTTTCCCACGGGGGGCCAGTATGAAAATGTATGCACTCACTAACTGTAAGTCGCTCTGGATAAGAGCGTCTGCTAAATGACTAAAATGTAAATGTAACAATAGACCCAGTCACTACAAAGATACAAGCGTCCTTCCTAACTCAGTTGCCTGAGAGGAAGGAAACTGCTCAGGGATTTCACCATGAGGCCAATGGTGATTTTAAAACAGTTACAGATTTTAATGGCTGTGATAGAACTGGGGATGGCTCAACAACATTGTAATTACTCAACTATACTAACCTAATTGACCGAGTGAAAAGAAGGAAGCCTGTACAGAATTAAACATATTCCAAAAAATGCATCCTGTTTTGTAACAAGGTGCTTAAGTAATACTGCAAAAGATGTGGCAATTAACTTTTTGTCCTGAATACAAAGCGTTATGTTTGGGGCAAACACATCACTGAGTACCACTGTTCATATTTTCAAGCATGGTGGTGGCTGCATCATGTTATGGGTATTATGTTATGGGTATGCTTGTCATTAGCAAGGACAAGGGTGTTTTTAGGATAAAAATAAATAGATTAGAGCTAAGCACAGGCAAAATCCTAGAGGAAAACCTGATTCAGTCTGCTTTTCAACAGACACTGGGAGACAAATTCACCTTTCAGCAGGACAATAACCTAAAACACAAGGCCAAGTCTACACTGGAGTTGCTTACCAAGACGACGTTGAATGTTCCTGAATGGCCTAGTTACAGTTTTGACTTAAATCAGCTTAAATCTATGGCAAGGCTTGAAAATGCCTGTCTAGCAATGATCAACAATCAACTTGACAGAGCTCGAAGAAGTTTAAGAAGAATAATGGGCAAATATTGAACAAGCCAGGTGTGCAAAGCTCCAAGGCGCTGCACAAGTTAGCCCTGTCTGTTCACATTAGCTTGCTAGCCGGCTAACTAGTTACGACATAACGAGGTGTATTCAAAAGGCCCCTGTTCAATGCGATAATGAGTGACTGCGAACTAAAGTGAACTAGCTAGCTATTTTACATGCTAGCTAATGCTTTGTCATTGGAACTGGATACCCCAAAAGACTCACAGCTGTAATCGCCGCTAAAGTTGCTTCAACAAAGTATTGAATACTTATGAATACTCTACATAGTGAATACTAATGTAAATTAGGTTCCGTGTGGCTCAGTTGGTAGAGCATGGCGCTTGCAACGCCAGGGTTGTGGGTTTGATTCCCACGGGGGACCAATACGAAAAAAGTATGAAAATGTATGAACTCACTACTGTAAGTCGCTCTGGATAAGAGCGTCTGCTAAATGACAAAAATTTAAATGTAAAATTAGATTTCTGTATTGCAAACATTTCTAAAAACATGTTTTAACTTCGATTATGGGGTATTGTGTGTAGATGGGTGAGAACGGGATTATTATTATTTTTAATCCATTTTGAATTCAGGCTGTAACACAACAATGTGTAAGTGTATGAATACTTTCTGAAGGCACTGTATTTACATACACTAGCGTTGGTTTAAATTGTATTGGGTTGCACAAAAACAATCAGTGGGAAGCCAGAAGTTAAATACAACTCCATTTCAACTTACTGTGCTGGTGGGCAGGACTGTTGGGAATTTGAGTCAAAATATGTAAAGGATCGTATTATTAAACAGACTTTCCAAACGTTTTTCTGTACACCCACTCCCTCTGCTTACCTCATGTCAAAATAAGTCCCTCACAAGTTGTTCCTTTTTTGTCCACATATGGTGCACGTGCAGGACTTTTATTTTGACATGAGGTAAGCAGGGTCAACAGACCCACGTTTGAAAAATCTGTTAATACGATATTTTGTCTCAAATTCCCCCATCCTAATGACCAACCGTCCTGCCCACTGGCACAGTAAATTGAAATGGAATTATATTTAACTTCTGGCTTCCCATGGAATGTTTTTGTGCAACCCAATACAATTGAAAGCAACGCTAGTGTATGTAAATACTGCTAAATGCAGCCCATAGCTGCCCAGCTGATAGGTATCTGACTATGGCTGCATTTACACCGGCAGCCCAATTCTGATCTTTTGCCACTAATAGTTTTTTTGACCAATCAGATCTGATGTTTTGTCAATAATTGGGGAAAAAAATCAGAATTGGTCTGCCTTTGTAAACGCAGCCTAGTATGTTGACTCTTGACCTCATTTTAAACACAGCTGAGATGGGCATTATAAAGGCTTTAGTTGCAGTACCATGTGTCTTATTTGAAGTACACCTAGCTAATTTAGTCACTAAGTTATCAATTCTAATAAGAGTTCTTTAGAAATAAAGTTTCCCCTGCCTGAACTTTGGACCATGTGAAATCCTGCTAACAAGCTTATGCAGTGGGAAATTCCTTCGGGCCTGATGGAAACAGAACATTTTTCAGTAAACTTTCCAAATGTCGACAAAACAAAATGCGCTAGACAAGGTGGGATCTTTTTGTGTCGGTAAATTCAACGATGCGAGAAATGTTGGTGGAAAACTATTTTTTCTTCATGCACAAATATTTATATAATAACAATCATATCGAAGTAAACTTTGAGATGACGTGTGGTCCTCCTACTACGACTCTTCGGGGAAGCATGCAGTTTATTAGGCTACAGATTAAATAAGTTATGATAAACTTCAGGGTGGTGAAAGTGCAAGGTGATGAGCTTGATGCTCCTTTCCAATAAATATTGAGGGTCTTATTCTGGTGACGATGCTTGGCTGCCTTTGAAAAATAAAAATCTCGCTGTTTTGCAGATAATAATCTCATCATGTAGGCTCTACGTGCGCTCTAGCCAACAGCGCGCACATAGAGCTGTTAGCTAGAGTGCACGTGCCAATACCAGAGTGGGCATACTCGCTGTATAAAGCAACAATTTTTGTGAGAAAACAATCAGAATTGAAAATGCAATGGAAACCCATTTAACTACACTGAACAAAAATTTAAACAAAACATATTTGGTTTCATAAGCTGAAATAAAAGATCCCAGAAATGTTCTATACATACAAAAAGCTTCTCTCATGTTGTGCACAAATTTGTTTACATCCCTGTTAGTGAGCGTTTCTCATTTGCCAAGATAATCCATCCACCTGACAGGTGTGGCATATCAAGAAGCTGATTAAACAGCATGATCATTACACAGGTGCCCCTTGTGCTGGGGACAATAACACAATGCCACAGATGTGGCAAGTTTTGAGGGAGTGTGCAATTGGAATGTCCACCAGAGCTGTTGCCAGGGAATTTAATGTTAATTCTCTACCAACGTCGTTTTAGAGAATTTGGCAGTACATCCAACCGGCCTCACAACCGCAGACCACATGTATGGCGTCATGTGGGCGAGCGGTTTGCTGATGTCAACATTGTGAACAGAGTGCCCCATGGTGGCGGTAGGGTTATGGTATGGGCAGACAAAAACACAATTGCATTTTATCGATGGCAATTTCAATGCACAGAAATACTGTGACGAGATCCTGAGGCCCGTTTTTTTTAAAATGGTATCTGTGACCAACCGATGCATACAGTGCATTCGCAAAGTATTCAGACCCCTTCACTTTTTCCACATTTTGTTACTTTACAGTCCTATTCTAAAATATATTTAAATCGTTTCCCCCCCCTCATCAATCTACACTCAATACCCCATAATGACAAAGCAAAAACAGGTTGTAACTTTTTTCTCTCGCATTTATTAAATAAACGGAAATATCACATTTACATAAGTATTCAGACCCTTTACTCAGTACTTTGTTGAAGCACCATTGGCAGCGATTACAGCCTTGAGTCTTCTTGGGTAGGACGCTACAAACTTGGCTCACCTGTATTTTGCGAGTTTCTCCCATTCTTCTCTGCAGATCCTCTCAAGCTCTGACAGGTTGGACGGGGAGCTTCGCTGCACAGCTATTTTCTGGTCTCCAGAGATGTTCGATCAGGTTCAAGTCCGGGCTCTGGCTGGGCCACTCAAGGACATTCAGAGACTTGTTCTGAAGCCACTCCTGCGTTGTCTTGGCTGTGTGCTTAGGGTCGTTGTCCTGCTGGAAGGTGAACCTTCGCCCCAGTCTGAGGTCCTGAGTGCTCTGGAGCAGGTTTTCATCAAGGATCTCTCTGTACTTTGCTCCGTTAATCTTTCCCTCGATCCTGACTAGTCTCCATGTCCCTGCCACTGAAAAACATCCCCACAGCATGATGCTGCCACCACCATGCTTCACCGTAGGGATGGTATTGGCCAGGTGATGAGCGGTGCTTTGTTTCCTCCAGATGTGACGCTTGGCATTCAGGCCAAAGAGTTAAATATTGGTTTCATCAGACCAGAGAATCTTGTTTCTCATGGTCTGAGAGTCCTTTAGGTGCCTTTTGGCAAACTCCAAGCGGGCTGTCATGTGCCTTTTACTGAGGAGTTGCTTCCGTCTGGCCACTCTACCATAAAGGCCTGATTGGTGGAGTGCTGCAGAGATGGTTGTCCTTCAGAGTGACCATTGGGTTCTTGGTCACCTCCCTGACCAAGGCCTTTCTCCCACAAGTGCTCAGATTGGCCAGGCGGCCAGCTCTAGGAAGAGTCTAGGTGGTTCCAAACTTCTTCCATTTTAGAATGATTGAGGCCGCTGTGTCCTTGGACCTTCAATGCTACAGAAATGTTTTGGTACCCTTCCCCAGATCTGTGCCTCGACACAATCCTGTCTTGGAGCTCTACAGACAATTCCTTCGACCTCATGGCTTGATTTTTGTTCTGAGATGCACTGTCAACTGTGGGACCTTATATAGACAGGTGTGAGCCATGTCCAATTACATTTCTTTTTTTTTACATTTTACACAATTAATTGAATATACCACAGGTGGAGTCCAATCAAGTTGTAGAAACATCTCAAGGATGATCAATGGAAACAGGATGCACCGGAGCTCAATTGAGTCTCATAGCAAAGGGTCTGAATACTTACGTGAATAAGTTATTTTTTGCAAAAATGTCTAAACCTGTTTTAGCTTTGTCATTCTGGCGGTATTGTGTGTCGATTTGAGAAACTAATTTAATAAATTTTAGAATAAGGCTGTAGCGTAACAAAATGTGGAAAAAGTGAAGGGGGTCTGAATACATTCTGAATACACTGTATCTGTATTCCCAGTCATGTGAAATCCATAGTTTAGGGCCTAATTTATTTATTTCAATTGACTGATTTCCTTATATGAACTGTGACTCAGTAAAATCTTTGAAATTGTTGAATTTTTTTTTTTTTGTGTGTAGTATTTATAAAAATTTGGTACATGGGAATTTAACCTCAATGTATTTTTATATGCACTACGTCGTCATGCACAGCCTTTTATTTGCATCAAGTCAATTTGATGGAAACATCTCTGGTGTGAAAATGCGCATATTGTTTTTATGCAGATTTTAGAATATTCACTTGATAATCTGTCGCCAACTGGATGGAAACCTAGCAATTGTTAGAGATAAGTTTAGAAACTAGTGGCACAAATTGTCTGCATGCAAAGCAAGTTTTATATAAAACATTAGTTTTACCCTTGTGTGATATACACTACCAGTCAAAAGTTTGGACACACCTACTCATTCAAGGGTTTTTCTTTATTTTTACTATTTTCTACATTGTAGAATAATAGTGAAGACAGCAAAACTGTGAAATAACACATATGGAATCATGTAGTAACCAAAAAAGTGTTAAACAAATCAAAATATATTTTATATTTGAGATTCTTCAAATAGCCACCCTTTGCCTTGATGACAGCTTTGCACACTTGGCATTCTCTCAAACAGCTTCACCTGGAATGCTATTCCAGCAGTTTTGATGGAGTTCCCACATATGCTGAGCACTTGTTGGCTGCTTTACCTTCACTCTGCGGTCCAACTCTTCCCAAACCATCTCAATTGGGTTGAGATCGGGTGATTGTGTGGAGGCCAGGTCATCTGATGCAGCACTCCATCACTCTCCTTCTTGGTCAAATTGCCCTTACACAGCTTGGAGGTGTGTTGGGTCATTGTCCTGTTGAAAAACAAATGATACTCCCACTAAGCACAAACCAGATGGGATGGTGTATCGCTGCAGAATGCTGTGGTAGCCATGCTGGTTAATTGTGCCTAGAACAGTTGATGTCTCTGTTACTTGAACTCTGTGAAGCATTTATTTGGGCTGCAATCTGAGGTGCAGTTAACTCTAATGAACTTATCCTCTGCAGCAGAGGTAACTCTGGGTCTTCCTTTCCTGTGGCGGTCCTCATGAGAGCCAGTTTCATCATAGCGCTTAATGTTTTTTGCGACTGCACTTGAAGAAACTTTCAAAGTTCTTGACATTTTCCGTATTGACTGACCTTCATGTCTTAAAGTAATGATGGACTGTCGTTTCTCTTTGCTTATTTGAGCTGTTCTTGCCATAATATGGACTTGGTCTTTTACCAAATAGGGCTATCTTCTGTATACCTTGTCACAACACAACTGATTGGCTCAAACGCATTAAGAAGGAAAGAAATTCCACAAATTAACCTTTAAGAAGGCACACCTGTTGATTGAAATGCATTCCAGGTGACTACCTCATGAAGCTGATTGAGAGAATGCCAAGAGTGTGCAAAGCTGTCATCAAGGCAAAGGGTGGCTATTTGAAGAATCTCAAATATAAAATATATTTGGATTTGTTTAACACTTTTTTGGATACTACATGATTCCATATGTGTTATTACATAGTTTTGATGTCTTCACTATTATTCTACATTTTACAAAATTGTCAAAATAAAGAAAAACCCTTGTATGAGTAGGTGTGTCCTAACATTTGACTGGAACTGTACATTTTAACCTGGAAGTTATCATCCTCATTCTACCCAATACAGTATCTTAACAAGGCACTTCTTTTTGCAGGTTTCTGATTGATAGCCGGTGGTTCAAGCAGTGGAAAAAATATGTGGGATTTGACAGCTGGGATATGTACAATGTTGGAGAGCACAGTCTCTATCCCGGCCCTGTTGACAACTCTGGCCTGTTCTCATGTAATGAAGGCATCATATTCACTTCCACAACATTTCACATTGTGTTTTAATCTATGTGTAGGCCATGTGTGTTTTCTTTTGTCTCTGCTGTGAGCATAATTCTAGTAAATGCACAACTAGTTATAAACAAGCACTCCAAATACTTGATCACTCTAAAAACTTGATGTCATAAACTTACCTTGACTCTATCTCTCCTTAGACCATGAGACCCAGATCCTGAAGGAGCACCTTATAGATGAGCTGGACTATGTCCTTGTGCCCACTGAGGCGTGGAACAAATTTGTCAGCTGGTATGGTTGCCTTGAGGGCCAGCGGCCCATCGCCAGAAAGGTGATGCTATTAAAAATGTATATTTTCACCCATTTGCGTTAGTCTCTCTCGTTAACCTTGCTCTTTCTGTCCGTAGGTGGTTGAACACGGCATGTTTGTCAAGCACTGTAAAGTGGAGGTCTATCTGTTGGAGCTCAACTTGTGTGAGAATGACAACATGGACAATGTGGTCACACGTCATTTCAGTAAAGCTGACACTATAGGTGAGAGAGAGAACAGTGTACTGTGAGCCAGAGAGCCAACTGACGTGTGAACTAACTAGATATGTATCATCTTCAGCCACTTCTGGCTTTTAATTAACTAAATATTGTGTGTGCCGTGTCCAAAGACACCATAGAGAGGGAGATGCGGTCACTATTTGAGATCCCAACGGGGAAGGAGACTCGACTGTGGAACAAGTACATGAGCAACACGTACGAGCAGCTGAACAAGCCAGACAGCACCGTACAGGATGCTGGTCTCTTCCAGGGCCAGGTAGAGTACTGTCTCTCCAACACCCACATCCACTCACTCACTGCTAGGCCACACACAGCTAGAGCTAGACCCTTTGCCCACTGGCACTTTCTTCATTAGACACACAGCACACTTGAATCTTTTTGAGGGGAAGCTGCAATGATGTCATCACTTTTAATCTCCTGAGCAGGGTTCGATTGAGGTGCTTAAAGTACTTGAATTTGGCACTTTGAAATTCAAATATTGCAATACCTTGACAATCAGAAATGTTCTGAAGTTGGTACTTGAAAAGTACTTGAATTAAAATGAGAGGAGAACAGAAAATGATCTAATATGAAAAATATCAGGATAATGTATTGGTTTTACGAATACATTTCCAGGCAGACTGCAGAGTTTTATTTCCTCAGGTGTTTCGTGCTCTGCTTGCCAGGCTCATTCCACCCCCACTGCCTCTCAGCCAGGCAGGTAAAGAACTGACTGATTAGGTGCCGCCAAGTGTCACATAATAACTAAAATGCCGGGCAAATGTAGATTCCATCCTGCGCATATGGAACATTTCTGGGATCTTTTATTTCAGCTTATGAAACATGGGACCAACACTTTACATGTTGCGTTTTATACTTTTGTTCAGTATAGTTTACACTTTTTTTTTACCACTACATCACTAGACCCAACCAAGCCACACTGTGTAAGGTGCAAAAAAATGTTTCTGACATTGCGAGCATGGGTGAATCGGCCCTGAAGGTGGAAAGAGACAAGGCTGCATCTTGCGCTGGCGCCAGTTCTACATTGTGACTTTTTCTCTACAGAGCTTTTTTGCCTCATTCAAGGGCCGCCCGCGATATTCCGCTTTATCAACCAGCAGCCGTGCTCCTGCTGTTCTGGTGGCTGTTCACGTGCCATTTTCCTCATACAGCCCACTTGCCCTTCTCCCGACTGGCTACATTAAAGATGCCAGTCTGAAGCAAGATGGTTTTTCATAGCTATTATGTAGTATTTTCTCAAATTCCCAATGAAATACAATACAGTCATTAAGCTGGAATTGTGTAGTAATGCGAATAGGAAATGTGTTCACAAGTAGGCATGTCCCAAAACTCTGCTCAACACTACTCAAATTACAACATCATCAGTACTGTCTTACCATTCATGTACGTAGTAAATAAGTAGTGAAACACGTATTATTGAGTAGAACGTTTATTTTTTAATGAGGTTGTGGCAATATACTGACATTTGGTGGCGACTAGAAACAATTGCGTAAATAGGAACTATTACAAATTGATGGTCCTTGAAAATTAAAATTAGTGCTAGAAAAAGTACTTGAAAGTCCTTGAACGTCATCTTAACCACTGTACGCACCCTGCATCCGTTTTTTCTCCCAACAGTTGAAATTGCACCTAGAGGTTGTTTTGCTGTCTGTTATGTTATGTAGCAGCAATTAACTCTGCTAACTGAGTATGTTATGAATGTTTTTGAAATCAGCTGAGTTCAGCACGGCTCTCACTGGTATGTTGCCCACACAGGTGCTCGTGATTGAATGCAAGAACGAGGACGGCACGTGGCCCAGACAAGCCTCCCATCCAAAGTAAGTTTATCGCTATATGGTAACACATTCTCTATTGTAGGACTTTGACTAGGGTTGCAAAGGGACGGTATATTACTGGAAACTTTCGAAGTTTATCAGTAAACTACTATAATTTTGGTATCTTTCAAGGATTTTATTATCAAGCACAGGACATCTAGTGGCCATTTTGGGTTCTTCAGATTATCACAGGTGTCTGTAATATTATCTTTGGCCTTATTACATGTAAAATGTATGAAATAATTAAATAAGATGTTTTAAATTAAAATAAATGGAATGACAAAGCTGTAAACATTATCCTAAATATAAACCATCAACTTAGTGAATACCATTGGTGTTTAATATGAGGGTTTCAGCATGAAATATCCTTTACATTTTTTTACACACTTATTTATTTTACTATGTCTATGTATTTCTTTTCAATGTTTTGGCCTCAAACTGGTGACAGGTGTGAAAAGTCAATAGTTGGAATAGTTGCAGAGTTTATTGAAAATAATGCCGTTGTTGATTAGATGCTTTTAATATTGAGGCTATTTTCTCTTGAACCATATGGTCCATCTACTAGAAACTCATGGAAAATATGAGATATAAAAAATGAATACTATATATAAATCACCAAAGTTACGATAGATTGCCATAGATTTTCTGTTAATTACAAAAATTACTAAAGATTCCCGTAACTTTAGCTTTGCAACCCTATTTGTGACAATTAAGCCATTTTTTTAATCAACATTTACAATATTCTCTGTCTGTTAGGCATGGGCGGTATACCGTATACCAGGGTATTTGGTATTAGCCATGAGATGGTTTCTCAATACCATTGAAACTATTTATTTTAAGTTTTTCAATAAATGTTAATATTTGTAGCTACTTTTAAGTAAATACCTGCAGTCAACTTGTGCAATACGTTAGGAGATAAAGCAGATTACATTTACATTTTAGTCACCTTTCCAGGCAGACTGCAGAGTTTTATTTCCTCAGGTGTTTCGCGCTCTGCTTGCCATGCTCATTCCACCCCCACTGCCTCTCAGCCAGGCAGGTAAAGAACTGACTGATTAGGCGCTGCCAAGCGTCACATAATAGCTAAAATGCCGGGCAAACGATCCAGAGCGACTTACAGTTAGTGAGTGCCATAGTTCCCCAGAACAGTTGAGCCAGTTGTGTTTGTTTGTAAATAGCACAACGGGAGAAAGTGGGAGCAGGTGAGTCCAGCTGTATATTGACAGGGGTCGCGATTTAATATTTTTTCTTTTTTCTTTTTTTTTCTTCAATAGACTGATCAGGGATGTGCAACTATTGTTTGCCTTTGCAGAAAATACTTTAGTGCAACACATTCGGCAGATAGTAGCTTAATTTACATCAGATGACAACAGAAACGCAACGGAATTTGGCTGGCAGCCACCCAAGTAAATGAGCTTACAATGAAAAAGCAAGGTATTTTTTGCAAAAACTATGCATGGCCATCATATTTCCAATGTTTATCATAGAATGTAGCGGGCTACATTTCCCAATGTTTTACTAGCAGAGAAAAGTAGGCTGGCTACACCGAGAAAACTAGCAACACATCAGTCAGAGCGCTGTCTGCTAATACAATGCCCATTTGTGAATTTTCATCTGAGTGGAGAAGTGTAACTGAAGCACAAAATGAGTCTTCTCCAAGCATGCGTCAACTTTGTTCACATTTCTTGTAAATGTCAACTCACCCAAAATGACATTCGGTAGGTTCTACCTATGTATTACTTTATGAGCTGGATTGCCTGTATTTGCCATTTGTTTATTATAGTTTGCGCTTGTTAGCATATTTAGTTAGCAGCCTTCATGGAAATGCACTATTACTTGTGCTAACTTTGTTAGCATTCTGGTAATAGACATCCAATGGTATTTTTAGCCCCCTTGTGGACTATGCCAGTAATACCGTAAATCCCGGGATGAGAGAAGGATGATATGAAAATCAGGATACCGCCCAACCCTAATGTTTGCTTGCACAAAATAGTATATATCAAATAATGTGTGTCTGAAACTTGTCAAGTAAGTTGTCTATGTTCATGTTATTCAGATCCAGTACGACTACATCCAGGAATTTCACTACCTCTCCAAAGCTCTCTTCTAACTCGTCGGCAACTATCTCCTCAACAGTAACCAATGGGGACAGCAGCAACTCTGGCTATACACTGAACAACAGCACCTCCTCTGGCAATAGGCAAGCAAACTGTGATTTTATCACTATGCCACAATATGCGAAGTCACTGGGATATCACTAGTCAATGGAGTCCCATTTATGTTTAGGAATATTTATACAATCCATTGATGTTTTACCTGTTAAACACTGGACTCAACCTTACTGTTTCTACAGACTGGGAGGTTACAATTCATACAGCTCCTCCTACAATTACAGAGAGTCACCATCCCAACCTGGCCTCTGTGGTCTCAGTAACCTAGGCAACACCTGCTTCATGAACTCCGCCCTCCAGGTAACTCGCACACACACACGAGGTCTGTGTGCAAACTTACATTAGCATATACTACACAAAGAATTCATATGGACCACAGCAAATATTGGGTACTGTAAAAGTTCAATTAAACTCAGTCTATAGCCGCCTGTCCCTTTTTAATAGCCGGGCAACAGCACACATTTCAGCAAATAAAAGCCTGTTTCAAATAAATACATTGTTTACGAGGTTACCATGAGTTGTTTACTAGGTTTAATGTTTGACTTGTTACATAAATAATTCTGTAATGTCTTAAAAATGATGGCAATCATCCATTTTTATCTCCAGTAAGAAACTGCTAGCCATTTGCTGCTAATAGCTGAGAACTGCTAGCTAACTGGCAAGCACAAAAACAGTAGTCTTCGGGAGTACAGACTCCCCAGAAATCGGCAGAAGTAAGAACTGCTAAAAATGCACTGTCAAATAGGAGAATAATTATACTGTAAAGGAAGTTTTATTTATATATTTTTTTAGAGGCGTACTAAGACAACATAAACATGACAGTGTGTAAATGATAACACATGAATGCAGGAAAGGAAGACATTTATTAAAATGCTGTAAGTGAATGCTGGAATGTTATTTGTCACATGCTTCGTAGACAACAGGTGTAGACTAACAGTGAAGTGCTTACTTACGGGTCGATTTCCAACAATGCAGATTTAAAGATAAATAAATAAAAATATATAAATAGTGACACAAGGAATAATTACACAGTGAATAACGAATACAAATAATGAGTTAAAATAACATGGCTATATACAGGGAGTACCAGTACCAAGTCTTTGCAGGGGTATGAGGTAATTGAGGTAGCTATGTACTGTACATATAGGTAGGGGTAAAGTGACTAGGCAACAGGATAGATGGCCACCCGGACAGCTGATGAAACTGAGGAGTATTTTTGTCTGTAATAAAGCCCTTTTGTGGGGAAAAACTCTGTTCTGATTGGCTGGGCCTGGCTCCCAAGTGGGTGGACCTATGCGCTCTCAGGCGCACCCATGGCTGCGCCCCTGCCCAGTCATGTTAAATCCATAGATTAGGGCCTAATTTATTTATATCAATTGACTGATTTCCTTATATAAACTGTAACTCAGTAAAATAGTTTAAATTGTTGCATGTTGCGTTTATATTTTTCAGTATATATATATCTTAACTATTAACTGTTTATAATGTGCTAAGTGTTCTGCTGTTGTGCATTTGGTTTGCTCATTTAGTAGCTAGTTAGCTATCTAGCTAAGTGGTTAGCTTCTTCCAAAATCCTGCTCCGCTTGGTAACAGCAGAGAATTCCCTCCTGGATCAAGCGCCTTTTGTCTAATATTTGTTTTGTGCGTGCAGAAAACTGAGTTGCATTTTTTTGCTACTTGTATAACTTTATGAGCTGGGATGTCTGTGCTGCAAATACTTTAGATCACAGACTATATAAAATGTTCAATTTGCTCGTTAGCATTTAGTTAGTATTCTTTATGGGATTTTACATGTACTTGTTAGCATTGCTAACCTTGTGTTCAGTGCTGGTATTACAATCTGAATACCTCCCAAGCCTAACTTGAAGCTCTTGACCCGGTCCACTACAGTCCCGTCGATGTGAATGGGGGCGTGCTTGGCCCTCCGTTTTCTGTAGTCCACGATCAGCTCCTTTGTCTTACTGACGTTGAGGAAGAAGTTGTCCTGGCACCACACTGCCAGGTCTCTGACCTTTTGCCTATAGGCTGTCTCGTCGTCTGTGATCAGGCCTACCACCGTCGTGTTGTCGGCCAACTTAATGATGGTGTTGGAGTCGTGCACGATGACGCAGTCGTGGGAGTGCAGGAGGGGACTAAGCACTCACCCCTGAGGGTCCCTGTGTTGAAGGTCAGCGTGGTGGATGTGTTGCAGATATGTTGAGGTGTTCAGTCCTAGGGACCTTAGCTTAGTGATGAGCTTCGAGGGCACTGGTGTTGAACGCTGAGCTGTGGTCAATAAACAGCATTCTCACGTAGGTGTTCCTTTTGTCCAAGTGGGAAAGGGCAGTGTGGAGTGCAATAGAGATTGCGTCATCTGTGGATATGTTGGGGAAAATTGGAGTGGGTCCAGGGTGTCTGGGATGATGGTGTTGATGTGAGCCATGACCAGCCTTTCAAAGCATTTCATGGCTACAGATGTGAGTGCTACGGGGCGATAGTCATTTAGACAGGTTTCCTTGGTGTTCTTTGGCACAGGGACTATTGTGGTCTGCTTGAAACATGTTGGTATTACAGACTGGGTCAGGGAGAGGTTGAAAATATCAGTGAAGACACTTGCCAGCTGGTCAGCGCATGCTCTGAGTATGTGTCCTGGTAATCCGTCTGGCCCCGCGGCCTTGTGAATGTTAACCTGTTTAAAGGTCTTACTCACATCGGCTACGGAGAGTGTGATCACACAATTGTCCGGAACAGCTGGTGCACTTAAGCTTGGTTCAGTGTTGCTTGCCTCTAAGCGAGCATAGAAGACTTTTAGCTCGTCTGGTAGGCTTGTGTCATTGGACAGCTCATGGCTGGGTTTCCCTTTGTAATCTTTGATAGATTGCAAGCCCTGCCACATCCGACGAGTGTCGGAGCCAATGTAGTATGATTCGATCTCAGTCCTGTATTAACGCTTTTCCTGTTTGATGGTCTGTCGGAGGGCGTAGCGGGATTTCTCATAATCGTCCGGGATAGTGTCCCTCTCCTTAAAAGCGGCAGCTCTAGCCTTTAGCTCAGTGCAGATGTTGCCTGTAATCCATGTCTTCTGGTTGGGATATGTACGTACGGACACTGTGGGGATACACTTATTAATGAAGCCGGTGACTGATGTGGTAAACTCCTCAATGCCATCGGATGAATCCCGAAACATATTCCAGTCTGTGCTAGCAAAACAGTCCTGCATCTTAGCATCCGCTTCATCGGACCACTTCCGAATTGAGTGTGTCACTGGTACTTCCTGTTTGAGTTTTTGCTTGTATGCAGGAATCAGGAGGATAGCTATGGTCAGATTTTCCAAACGGAAGGCGAGGGAGAGCTTTGTATGCGTCTCTGTGTGGTGTAAAGGTGTTCTAGAGTTTTTCCCCCCTCTAGTTTCACAGGTGACATGCTGGTAGAAATGAGGTAAAACAGATTTCAGTTTTCCTGCATTAAAATCACCGGCCACTAGGAGCGCTGCCTCTGGATGAGCATTTTCTTGTTGGCTTATGGCCCAATATAGCTTGTTGAGTATGGTCTTAGTGCCATCTTCGGTTTGTGGTGGTAATTAGACAGCTACGAAAATATAGATAAAAACTGTCATGGTAAATTGTGTGGTCTACAGCTTATCATTAGTAATTTCTAGAGATTGCACACCAGCTGTTGTTAACAAAGAGACACACACCCCAACTCTTGGGTTTACGAGACGCTGCCTTTCTGTCCTGCCGATGCATAGAAAAACCAGCTAGATTTATGTTAACCTTGTCATCGTTCAGCCACGACTCTGTGAAGCATAGGATATTATAGTTCTTCAGTTAACTAGGCAAATGAGCAAAAGCTGTGTGCGTCAAGGAAATAGACGCCTGGCTCAAATAGAAGCCTGTCTCTAATAAGCGCCTGTTTTGATCAGTGATTTAAGCAAATGAATGCCTGACTATTAATTTAAGTTTCACGACATTTCTTGCTATAGAGCATATTTCCCTTGTCTAAGACCGAGTTGTACTGACCTCTCTAAACCAGTTGATGGTGTGGAAGAGCAGGCCACTGACTAACTCTCTCTCAGGCTTAGACAGGCTCTCTGACACACAAACACACACCAAGCAAGGTTTGAACTGTATATTTCTGCCTTATTCACCTCACTGTTTTGTTGCAGTGCCTGAGCAATGCGTGCCCTCTCACTGAATACTTCCTGGATGACCAGTATGAGGCGGAGATCAACCGGGAGAATCCATTAGGAATGAGGGGGGAGATCGCAGAGGCCTACGCAGACCTGGTCAAGCAGATGTGGCTTAGCCGCAGCAGCTATGTGGCTCCCCGCACCTTTAAAGTGAGCAGTGCCACAGATACATAAGACTGAATTTCTATAGGCTACTGCAATGTAGTGCACCTTCCTCGTCCTCTTTTTGACCTTTTAGATTTTTCTAATTCAGTCAGTTACCAGTAGATTTCTGCAATACAGCCAGTTACCAGTTACTATCTTACGAACTCATTGCAGACATAGCAATGAGCATGAAGCTATCTGTCATAATTACTATAACACGTGTGATTGAAAAGCTGCACAGTCTGCTAACCTCCACCCTATGTTCCCCCTTTATCCCAGACCCAAGTGGGCCGCTTCGCCCCCCAGTTTTCAGGGTACCAGCAGCAGGACTCCCAGGAGTTGCTGGCCTTCCTGATGGACGGGCTCCACGAAGACCTGAACCGCGTTAAAAAGAAGCCTTACCTGGCCCTGCAGGACGCAGGGGGGCGGCCAGACGAGGTACACATACACACAATCTTGGTGATGCTAGTAAGGAAGATTTCCCATAGCATTGTCATTAAGTCCTATTATGTTTGAGATCACCTCTGTACAAATCTCTAACAGTTTTTTTTCTTCTGAATGACAGATTGTAGCTAAGGAAGCATGGACTAACCATCGCCTGCGCAATGACTCAATCATTGTGGACATATTCCATGGCCTGTTCAAATCCACTCTGGTGTGTCCAGAGTGTGCCAAGGTCTCTGTGACCTTTGACCCATTCTGCTACCTCACACTCCCTCTGCCCATGAAGAAGGACCGAACTATGGAGGTGTTCTTGGTCCGCATCGACCCCGATTCCAGACCCACGCAGGTAACACACACACACTGGACGGGAGCTGCTTTTCCCCCTCAATGTAGTTAGACACTCATCATAATAGCAATCATTTTTTATTTATTAAGGATTTCACAACAACAAAAGGACATGACAAATGCAGAGTAATATAAACATAATATAAAACCAAACAATGATATCAGACACACCAAAAACAAGAGAGAAAAATAAATTAAAAATAAATAATAGCACCACTGCTTCACCACATTATAAACTGACTTCAGATACATTTCACCTTTTAAGGTCCATTTGACCATGCAATGAAAGGGGCCCCAAGTATATTCAAAGTAGTCTAGTTTACCCAGAAACTGGTAAGAAACTCTCCCATAGCTAGCCAGCTGTGCCATGGTACTGGCCCATTCATCAAAGGGAGGGGGATATTCTTTCTTCCAATGCCTTAAGAGTAAGCGCTTAGCTGTTGTGATGGCCAGGATAAGCCATCTCTTTTCAAAGGAAGTGAAAACATAGTCCTTAAGGTCAGTTGTTGAGCCTAACATATACAGTTTTACAGTGATCAGGAACTGTCTTAATAACCTGAAATACAACTTGTTGCCTGTCCCCTGTAGCTCAGTTGGTAGAGCATGGCGCTTGCAACGCCAGGGTTGTGGGTTCGTTTCCCATGGGGGGCCAGTATGAAAATGTATGCACTCACTAGCTGTAAGTCGCTCTGGATAAGAGCGTCTGCTAAATGACTAAAATGTAAATGTTGTATATTATTCCACCAATCTTTTAGCGCTGGACATGACCAGAGTATATGTATAATAGAGGCATCATAACCTTTACATCTCCAACATCGGTCTTCTGGTATTAACATTGTGGAGTCCAATTGAATAAATGTATTTCCCATTTCTTTATACATAGTATTCAAATTAGACAAGCATGATTTTTACTCTTCATGGGATATACAGTACCAGTCAAAAGTTTGGACATACCTACTCATTCATGGGTTTTTCTTTATTTTTACTATTTTCTACATTGTAGAATAACAGTGAAGACATCAAAACTATGAAATAACACATATTGAATCATGTAGTAACCAATAAAGTGTTAAACAAATCAAATATATTTTATATTTGAGATTCTTCAAAGTAGCCACCCTTTGCCTTGATGACAGCTTTGCACACTCTTGGCATTCTCTCAACCAGCTTCATTAGGTAGTCACCTGGAATGCATTTAAATTAAAAGGTGTGCCTTGTTATAAGTTAATTTGTGGAATTTCTTTCCTTAATGTGTTTGAGCAAATCGGTTATGTTGTGACAAGGTAGGGGTGGTATACAGAAGATAGCCCTATTTGGTAAAATACCAAGTCCATATTATGGCAAGAACAGCTCAAATAAGCAAAGAGAAACGACAGTCCATCATTACTTTAACATTTACGACATGAAGGTCAGTCAATCCAGAATATTTCAAGAACTTTGAACGTTTCTTCAAGTGCAGTCTCAAAAACCATAAAGCGCTATGATGAAACTGACGCTCATGATGACCGCCACAGGAAAGGAAGACCCAGAGTTACCTCTGCTGCAGATGATAAGTTAATTAGAGTTAACTGCACCTCAGATTGCAGCCCAAATAAATGCAACAGTCCTTCAAGACTGTTGGAAAAGCATTCCTCATGAAGCTGGTTGAGAGAATGCCAAGAGTGTGCAAAGCTGTCATCAAGGCGAAGGGTGGCTACTTTGAAGAATCTCAAATATAAAATATATTTTGATTTGTTTAACAGTTTTTGGGTTACTACTTGATTCCATATGTGTTATTTCATAGTTTTGATGTCTTCACTATTATTCTACAATGTAGAAAATAGTACAAATAAAAACCCTTGAATGAGTAGGTTAGTCCAAAATCTTGACTGGGACTGTATCTAGAGCCAAATCTTTTGTCCATTGTACTTTAATCTTATTTAAAGGATCAGAAAATTGGTCCAGTAGCAGATTATAAATTATTTCTTCAATCGGGCTTGCTATGGGACAGGTAAGGGGGCTTCCCAAACATTTTCACAAAGAACTATGTAGCTGGAGGTGTCTCCAATATTAATTCTGTGGCAGCTTATATTTCTTAGTAATTTGGGGAAAGCTTAAGAATTGCTTAGACTGCTCATCAAATAAATCCAACAGATAATTGGTTCCTACTTGTTGCCACTGTACCCAATTCTTTATTTTTTTTAACCTCCAATTGGGATACGCTTATTGTGCCACAGAGGGGCTTGAGGCTCTTTGTATCTTACCCCACAAGGTTCTAGTGTTTGTAACAGTGGGGTGATCCTTCAGTTGTGGTCATACAGTGCAAAAAATTCCAAGCCAGGGCGATACCCCCATGGGCCTCAGACTCCAGCTGGTACCAGCCTGGTTTAGCCCCTCCCTTCCGACATGGCAACCAAATACTGATTTGTTTGACATTGATAGCCCAGTAGTACCACCTGAAGTTAGGGAGACCAGATCCACCTTTTTTGGGGGAGACTTACTTTTTATTTAACCTAAACTGCTGAGTTACCCCAAAGAAAATCAAAACATGCCTGTCAATATCTTTAAAGTAATAATCTGGGATGTATAGAGGGAATGAGCTAGAAGATAATATATTACAGGTGCCAGCATCATTTTAATATAATTAATTTTACCCCATAATGAAAGATTTTTGACCATCTAGCAAAGTCATTCTTCATTTTTAGAAGTAAGGGTTTCATATTCTCTCCAAAAATATCCCTGTGGCTGGGGGTTATTAGAATGCCAAGGAATTTGATACTCTTAGGGGACCATCTACATTTCATAATAACAATCTTAAGCACAGCCTCAGACAAAACATTTAGGCTAAACCTGGGCTAGTTGAATTTCATTTAAATACCGTGTCTGTGTACATAGATAATGTTCTACTAACACAATTTTGATTTAGAGGTGCCAAAATTGTGTTTCTGTTCTCGTGATGTCTGCAATGTAAATAAGACATTTGCATATAATACTAATTGAGGTGGTTATCAAAACCAGACCAGTTTCAATGGGGACCTAGAAACAGAGTGGTCTTTGTACATGCTGCCGTGCTCTCTTCGATTTCAGAGTGGGCCGCGGTTCACCGACTGAGGTCATGACATCTATGTAGACAGAAGTCAAAATATCTTGTCTCTCTCCATCCTTCTCTTTCTCTCCCTCTGCATCTCTCTTTTTTCTCTTCCCCAGTACCGAGTGGTGGTCCCCAAGCTTGGCTCAGTGACAGACCTGTGCAGCGCCTTGTCCAGGCTCTCTGGAATCCCTGCTGAGAATGTGAGAGCTTTACCTTTTATGTGCTGCTAGCTGAATGAGGGCCATTGTACTTTTAGACTCTCTTTTTACAGTCCCTGCCTGGCATTTGCACCCATGTCCTTTATGGTTATGCGCTCATGATTAAATTTTGGTTGTGACTTGATAGGATTAAAATTATCGGCCAGTAGGCTTGGCGATACTCTGGTATATGGTATAAACGGTATATTTAGAAAAATTGACAGTATGATTTTCAATAACGTTTTTTTTTTATGTGCTACGCCACTGCTTATAACTATAAGTTATAACTGTTAACTTGCTAGCTAAGTGGCTAGATGTCAAGATCAAGCTTCTTGGTTACAGCAGAGACATTCTAGCCTGAGTTACCAGTCTCTTTAGCTAACATTCCACACCTTGTCATTGCCAAAGAGTCTGGCCTTTCTGCCATCTTCAAATATTTTATATCATTAATGAGCTCGAGAACAGAGGAGTTGATCCTGATTTGATAACCCTCACAGCTATCCTCCAATCACAATAATGATACAAATATTGGAACTATATCACTTTCTCCACAGACCACATTGGTATTAGGTTGCTAAGAAACCGTTTTTTGTTTGTCCACACAAAACCAGAATGTCAAAAGTTGCTAGCTCACATCTAAATTCTCAAACTAAATACACACTGCAATTCCAACCACAAAACCTATTTGCATTTATTTTAAGCCTCAAAATACAACAACTTGCCTAGCTAACAGCCAGATATTTGTTTTTGACTTAGTTATTTCTTTAATTTTTATATTTAGCAGACGCTCTTATCCAGAGCGACTTACAGGAGCAATTATGGTTAAGTGCCTTGCTCAAGGGCACCGACAGATTTTTCACCTAGTCGGCTCGGGGATTGGAACCAGCGACCTTTCGGTGACTGGCACATCACTCTTAACCATTAAGCTACCTTAAAAAATCTATTTTTCAGGCTCCACATGTTGTCATGGAAAGTATTAATGTTATTTCCAACAACTAATGAGCAACTCTGTATATCCAGCTGCATATTGAATGTTGAGATTGCCGAAAAGCAAGGAGTGGAACGTTAGCTAAAGATTGGTGCCCAGACTAGAGAAATTCACACCAAAAAAAAAAAAAATATATATATATATATATATAGTACCAGTCAAAAGTTTGGACACACCTACTCATTCAATGGTTTTTCTTTATTTTTACTATTTTCATATTGTACAATAATAGTGAAGACATCAAAACTATGAAATAACACATGGAATCATGTAGTAACCAAAAAAGTGTTATTTTATATTTGAGATTCTTCAGATAGCCACCCTTTGCCTTGATGACAGCTTTGCACACTCTTGGCATTCTCTCAACCAGCTTCATGAAGCTGGTTGAGAGAACATTTACATTTACACATTTACGTCATTTAGCAGACGCTCTTATCCAGAGCGACTTACAAATTGGTGCATTCACCTTATAGCCAGTGGGATAACCACATTACAATATGTTTATTTTTTATTTTTATTTTTTGGGGGTGGGGTAAGGGGGAGTAGAACGATTACTTTATCCTATCCCAGGTATTCCTTAAAGAGGTGGGGTTTCAAGTGTCTCCGGAAGGTGGTGAGTGACTCCACTGTCCTGGCGTCGTGAGGGAGCTTGTTCCACCATTGGGGTGCCAGAGCAGCGAACAGTTTTGACTGGGCTGAGCTGGAACTGTGCTTCCGCAGAGGTAGCGGGGCCAGCAGGCCAGAGGTGGATGAACGCAATGCTCTCGTTTGGGTGTAGGGACTGATCAGAGCCTGAAGGTACGGAGGTGCCGTTCCCCTCACAGCTCCGTAGGCAAGCACCATGGTCTTGTAGGAGATGCAAGCTTAAACTGAAAGCCTGTGGAGTGTACGGAGGAGCGGGGTGACGTGAGAGAACTTGGGAAGGTTGAACACCAGACAGGCTGCGGCATTCTGGATGAGTTGTAGGGGTTTAATGGCACAGGCAGGGAGCCCAGCCAACAGCGAGTTGCAGTAATCCAGACGGGAGATGGCAAGTGCCTGGATTAGGACCTGTGCCGCTTCCTGTGTAAGGCAGGGTCGTACTCTCCGAATGTTGTAGAGCATGAACCTACAGGATCGGGTCACCGCCTTGATGTTAGCGGAGAACGACAGGGTGTTGTCCAGGGTCACGCCAAGGCTCTTCGCACTCTGGGAGGAGGACACAACGGAGTTGTCAACCGTGATGGCGAGATCATGGAACGGGCAGTCCTTCCCCGGGAGGAAGAGCAGCTCCGTCTTGCCGAGGTTCAGCTTGAGGTGGTGATCCGTCATCCAAACTGATATGTCTGCCAGACATGCAGAGATGCGATTCGCCACCTGGTTATCAGAAGGGGGAAAGGAGAAGATGAGTTATGTGTCGCCTGTGTAGCAATGATAGGAGAGGCCATGTGAGGATATGACAGAGCCAAGTGACTTGGTGTATAGCAAGAATAGGAGAGGGCCTAGAACTGAGCCCTGGGGGGACACCAGTGGTGAGAGCATGTGGTGCGGAGACAGATTCTCGCCACGCCACTTGGTAGGAGCGACCGGTCAAGTAGGACGCAATCCAAGAGTGAGCCGCGCCGGAGATGCCCAACTCGGAGAGGGTGGAGAGGAGGATCTGATGGTTCACAGTATCAAAGGCAGCAGACAGGTCTAGAAGGACAAAAGCAGAGGAGAGAGAGTTAGCTTTAGCAGTGCGGAGAGCCTCCGTGACACAGAGAAGAGCAGTCTCAGTTGAATGACCAGTCTTGAAACCTGACTGGTTTGGATCAAGAAGGTCATTCTGAGAGAGATGGCAAGAGAGTTGGCTAAAGACGGCACGCTCAAGAGTTTTGGAGAGAAAAGAAAGAAGGGATACTGGTCTGTAGTTGTTGACATCAGAGGGATCGAGTGTTGGTTTTTTGAGAAGGGGTGCAACTCTCGCTCTCTTGAAGACGGAAGGGACATAGCCAGCGGTCAAGGATGAGTTGATGAGCGAGTTGAGGTAAGGGAGAAGGTCACCTGAGATGGTCTGGAGAAGAGAGGAGGGGATAGGGTCAAGCGGGCAGTTTGTTGGGCGGCCGGCCGTCACAAGTCGCAAGATTTCATCTGGAGAGAGAGGGGAGAAAGAAGTCAAAGCATAGGTAGGGCAGTGTGAGCAGGACCAGCAGTGTCATTTGACTTAACAAACGAGGATCGGATGTCGTCAACCTTCTTTTCAAAATGGTTGACGAAGTCATTCACAGAGAGGGAGGAGGGGGAGGATTCAGCAGGGAGGAGAAGGTGGCAAAGAGCTTCCTAGGGTTAGAGGCAGATGCTTGGAATTTAGAGTGGTAGAAAGTGGCTTTAGCAGCAGAAACAGATGAAGAAAATGTAGAGAGGAGGGAGTGAAAAGATGCCAGGTCCGCAGGCTGCCCGGAGCCCTGTTCTGTGAGCTCGCAATGAGTCGTCAAGCCACGGAGCAGGAGGGGAGGACCGAGCCGGCCGGGAGGATAGGGGACATAGAGAGTCAAAGGATGCAGAAAGGGAGGAGAGGAGGGTTGAGGCGGCAGAATCAGGAGATTGGAGGGAGAAGGATTGAGCAGAGGGAAGAGATGATAGGATGGAAGAGGAGAGAGTAGCGGAAGAGAGAGAGCGAAGGTTGCGACGGCGCATTACCATCTGAGTAGGGGCAGAGTGAGTAGTGTTGGAGGAGAGCGAGAGAGAAAAGGATACAAAGTAGTGGTCGGAGACATGAAGGGGAGTTGCAGTGAGATTAGTAGAAGAAAAGCATCTAGTAAAGATGAGGTCACGCGTATTGCCTGCCTTGTGAGTAGGGGGAGAGGGTGAGGTCAGGAGAGGAGAGGAGTGGAAAGAAGGAGGCAGAGAGAAATGAGTCAAAGGTAGACGTAGGGAGGTTGAAGTCACCCAGAACTGTGAGGGATGAGCCATCCTCAGGAAAGGAACTTATCAAGGCGTCAAGCTCATTGATGAACTCTCCAAGGGAACCTGGAGGGCGATAAATGACAAGGATGTTAAGCTTGAATGGGCTAGTGACTTTGACAGCATGGAATTCAAATGAGGAGATAGACAGATGGGTCATGGGAAAAAGAGAGAATGTCCACTTGGGAGAGATGTGGATTCCTGTGCCACCACCCCGCTGACCAGATGCTCTCGGGGTATGCGAGAACACATGGTCAGACGAGGAGAGAGCAGTAGGAGTAGCAGTGTTTTCAGTGGTAATCCATGTTTCCGTCAGCGCCAAGAAGTCGAGGGACTGGAGGGTAGCATAGGCTGAGATTAACTTTGAGGTCTTGTTGGCCGCAGAACGGCAGTTCCAGAGGCTGCCGGAGACCTGGAACTCCACGTGGGTGGTGCGTGCAGGGACCACCAGGTTAGAGAGGCAGCAGCCACGCGGTGTGAGGCGTTTGTATAGCCTGTGCGGAGAGGAGAGAACAGGGATAGACAGAGTTGACAGGCCACAGAAAATGGCTACAATAATGCAAAGGCGATCGGAATGAAATGAACTAAACATCTGGGAAAGCGAGAGAGCGGGGCCTCCCTCACTTACGTTTCACTGAAACACCAAATGTAACTCTCCCAACTTCCACCTCAGAAACTATAATTGTTGTAAACTACAGCGGTTCAATGTTTTCTAGGAATAGACTAACTTCGTTTATTCAGCTAGCTAACTTGGTACAGTATTCTTCCGTGAAAATTCGTACAGGGCACCTAGTCATATGACGCCACAGCCAACTAGCATGCCGGACTCCAACAACACGGTTTAGCACCAATACTCGGCCACAACAAACCACTAGTGTGTCAACACACCAAGCAGATGAAGCAAGAAGCCTGATGTTGACATCTAGTCACCTGGAATGCATTTAAATTAAAAGGTGTACCTTGTTAAAAGTTAATTTGTGAATTTCTTTCCTCAATGCGTTTGAGCCAATCAGTTGTGTTGTGACAAGGTAGGGATGGTATACAGAAGCTAGCCCTATTGGTAAAAGACCAAGTCCATATTATGGAAAGAACAGCTCAAATAAGCAAAGAGATTCGACAGTCCATTACTTTAAGACATGAAGGTCAGTCAATCCGGAAAATTTCAAGAACTTTGAAAGTTTCTTCAAGTGCAGTCGCAAAAACCATCAAGCGCTATGATGAAACTGGCTCTCATGAGGACCGCCACAGGAAAGGAAGACCCAGAGTTACTTCTGCTGCAGAGGATAAGTAATTAGAATAACTGCACCTCAGATTGCAGCCCAAATAAATGCTTCACAGAGTTCAAGTCACAGACACATCTCAACATCAACTGTTCAGAGGAGACTGCGTGAATCGAATTGCTGCAAATACACCACTACTCAAGGACACCAATAAGAAGAAGAGACTTGCTTGGGCCAAGAAACACGAGCAATGGACATTAGACCGGTGGAAATCTGTCCTTTGGTCTGATGAGTCCAAATTTGAGATTTTTTTTCCCAACCGCCGTGTCTTTGTGAGACACAGAGTAGGTGAACGTATGATCTCCGCATGTGTGGTTCCACCGTGAAGCATGGAGGAGGAGGTGTTATGGTGTGGGGGTGCTTTGCTGGTGACACTGTCAGTGATTTATTTAGAATTCAAGGCACACTTATCCAGCATGGCTACCACAGCATTCTGCAGCAATACGCCATCCCATCTGGTTTGGGCTTAGTGGGACTATCATTTGTTTTTCAACAGGACAATGACCCAACACACCTCCAGGCTGTGTAAGGGCTATTTGACCATGAAGGAGAGTGATGGAGTGCTGCATCAGATGACCAGGCCTCTACAATCACCCGACCTCAACCTAATTGAGATGGTTTGGGATGAGTTGGACCGCAGAGTGAAAGAAAAGCAGCCAACAAGTGCTCAGCATATGTGGGAACTCCTTCAAGACTGTTGGAAAAGCATTCCAGGTGAAGCTGGTTGAGAGAATGCCAAGAGTGTGCAAAGCTGTCATCAAGGCAAAGGGTGGCTATTTGAAGAATCTGAAAAATAAAATATATTTTGATTTGTTTAACACTTTTTGGCTTATTCCATAAATCCATATGTGTTATTTCATCGTTTTGATTATTCTACAATGTAGAAAATAGTAAAAATAAAGAAAATACCTTAAATGAGTAGCTGTCCAAACTTTGGACTGGTACTGTATATATAGCGCCCGTTGTATGCACTTCCGGTAATCCGTATACCCCGGTATGGAACAGAAACGGTATGATGGTATGAGAATCTGGATGCCAGGAAATGTGTATATTAGGCTAACATAATTTCATTCTTTTATAGCCTTTTTTCAATTGTGAGGATAACGTTTTGTCCCACTGACGGGTCTGATAAAGTGACTCCAGTTGAGAGGAAACCATAAATGCTCCCTCCTATCTTCCTAGATGGTGGTGGCTGATGTTTACAATCACCGGTTCCACAAGATCTACAGACGAGACGACGGCCTCAACCACATCATGGAGAAAGATGACATATTTGTGTAAGCATTGTCTCTTCTCTTGCACTGGAAGATAACATATTGAACAGTGGTTGGGTATGAGCAGACGTCAAACATTATCTTTATTGTCCAGGGAAATTATTTTGTGCAGCCAGGAGTTTACAGAATAACCACATACAGTGCCTTCAGAAAGTATTCACACCCCTTGACTTTTTCCACATTTTGTTGTGTTACAGCCTGAATTTAAAATGGATTAAATTGAGATGTGTCACTGGCCTACACAGAATACCTAATAATGTCAAAGTGGAATTATGTTTTTAGAAATGTTTACTAATGAATTAAAAGCGGAATGTCTTGAGTCAATAATTATTCACCACCTTTGTTATGGTAAGCCAAAATAAGTTCAGCAGTAAAAATTTGCTTAACAAGTCACTTGAGTTGCATGGACTCACTGTGTGAGCAATAATAGTGTTTAACATTACTTTTTAATAACTCATCTCTGTACCCCACACATACAATTATCTGTAAGGTCCCTCAGTCGAGCAGTGAATTTCAAACACAGATTCAACCACAAAGACCAGGGAGGGTTTCCAATGCCTCACAAAGGGCACCTATTGGTAGATGGGTTAAAATAAATATTGAGTATCCCTTTGAGCATGGTGAAATGATTAATTACAATTTGGATGGTGTATCAATACACCCAGTCACTACAAAGATACAGGTGTCCTTTCTAACTTCGTTGCAGGAGAGAAAGGAAACCGGTCAGGGATTTCACCATAAGACCAATGGTGACTTAAAAACTGTTACTGAGTTTAATGGCTGTGATAGGAGATAACTGAGGATGGATCAATAACATTGTAGTTACTCCACAAAACTAACCTAAATGAGAGTGAAAAGAAGGAAGCCTGTAAAGAATTAAAAAAATATTCCAAACATGCATCCTGTTTGCAATAATTCATTAAAGTAAAACTTTTTGTCCAGAATACAAAGCGTTATGTTTGGGGCAAACACAACACATCAGAGTACCACTCTTTTTATATTTTCAAGCATGGTGGTGGCTGCATCTTGTTATGGGTAGGACTAGGAAATCTTTTAGGATATAAATGAACGGCAGAGGCAAATCCTAGAGGAAAACTGGGAGACAAATTCACCTTTGAGCAGGACAATAACCTAAAACACAAGGCCAAATTTACACTGGAGTTGATTTCCAAGACAACATCGAATGTTCCTGAGTGGCCTAGTTACAGTTTTTACCTAAATCGGCTTGAAAATCTATGGCAAGACTTGAAAAATGTCTGTCTAGCAATGATCAGCAACTAACTTGACAGAGCTTGAAGAATTTAAAAAAGAATAATGTGCAAATATTGTACAATCCAGGTGTGGAAAGCTCTTAGACTTACCCAGAAAGATTCACAGCTGTAATAGTTGCCAAAGGTGACTCTATCATGTATTGACTCAGGGGTGTAAATTAGATATTTCTATGTTTCATTTTCAATTCATTTGCTAAACGTGTTTGCACTTTGTCATTATGGGGTATGGTGTGTAGATGGGTGAGGAACATTTTGTTTTTATCCATTTTGAATTCAGGCTGTAACACAACAAAATGTGGAAAAAGTAAAGTGGTATGAATACTTTCTGAAGGCACTGTACAGTATCCACCACATGTACACAACAGATTTAAAATCGTAAAAAAGGAACACCCCAAGTGTGCTACTGTATCATTCTCCATGTTTGTGGTCCAGGTATGAGGTGGCGGAGGAGGACAGGGAGAGGATGAACCTGCCTGTGTACTTCAGGGAGCGCCACTCCAAGCACACGGGCGGCTCCACGGGCACCATGCTGTTTGGCCAGCCCCTCCTCATTACTGTTCCCCGGCAGAACTTGGCCGCTGACATGCTCTACGAGAAGGTGCTGGAGAGGATTGGGTGGGTACACTGTCTGTCTGTAGGCCTGCTTTTGTTTCTACTTGTGTTCTTATGTACAGTATGCAGCATATAGACTTGAGATATTGAACATGTACTTAGTGTGCCAAATGTGGGCTTAGCACATGTGGCAAAAGATTAACATGTGTGATATTTACCCACTGTTTTCCCATTCCAGGCGCTACGTGAAGCGCTTTCAGAGCTCCAACGTTGAGGGGAGGGCCTCCGCCTCTGCCTCCTCGGCCAGCTGCAGCCTGGTAGCCGAGTGCTCAGCAACATCCTCCAATCACAACGCTGCAGCGAGTGGGAGTGGTAGCCCCCTGTTGGAAGGGGCGTCCTGCAGCTCCAGCAACGGCAGCAACCACTCGGGGACCTCCAACAGGTCCAACAGGAATGGGAGGTGTGAGGGTAAGCAACAACATGGATCAGAGTGCTCCAGCAGCAGTAAAGGCAGCACAGTTACTTACATCTCGTACACCTATTGGTTTCTTTTTTATCCCATGATAAATTAGGTGTACTAAGCACATTTTAGTTTTGCATTCATGTGTGTGAAATATTTCATTGCCACGGGCTGACATGGCTTGTGTGAATCCGATGAGGGGGTTTCAGACTTGTGTGTGTTGGTTCCAGGTGAGGAGGAGGCCATGGATCACCAGGTGAGCCCGGAGCCAGAGAACGGCCAGTCGGGGGAGGAGGAGGAAGCCTCGGACCTGGAGAATGGCCCTAAAACCAAAGAGTGCTCCAGCACCCCGCCCAAACTCTTCTCCTTCAGCATGGTCAACTCCTACGGAACGGCCAACATCAGTCCACTGCCTTGTGACGGAAACGTCCTCAAACTCAATAGTTAGTATTCAGTCTCGCCTCTGGCTTTTCAATGTTTTGACCAGTTACAAGAGGAGAAAATGGCTTGAAATAAGTGGTTTTCTGAATGTTTTTAGTTAAAAAGTCCTAGGTGGTTAAAGTATGTTGGTTCAGTTGCCATTAGAAAACCGGCTTTCGATGTGAGTTGAGAGCTGACCAAAGCCTCTTATCTCCTCCGTAGCACATTCCACAGTGGCGATTGACTGGGACTCGGACACAAAGAAACTGTGTTACGACGATCAGGAAGCAGAGGTCAGTACTGTTTCAGTTGACTTGATCAGGTTGACCTAAAGCCCTTTTAATCATGTCAACGTTTGTGCCAGGCTATGTCTATACGGTGTGTATCTGTCTGTGTGACTCAGTTCTGTATCCTCTGTGTGTACTGTAGGCCTATGAGAAGCACGAGAGCATGCTCCAGGCCCAGAAGAAGAAAGCCACAGTGGCTCTGAGGGAATGCATCGAGCTCTTCACCACAATGGAGACGCTAGGAGAGCATGACCCATGGTGAGACCAGGCACAAGAGAAACAGGCCCTAATTACTCTACTCACTAAATCATTGAAACCACTACTTTCTTTGGTAGGGTGTAATGTTGTCGTGACGTGCCTTTCATTATTGTGATGACTATTATTTATTGAATAATTACCTACTATGTTTAATTGTTACTAGATTAAATTAATCATGTAACAATTAAATCATTAGGAATTTGGGGCACCACGGGAAAAGTTAACAAGTTACCGTTTCCCGAATTACCTCTAAAGATATCTTGATATCTCTTATCATTTAACAGTAATTTATTAATCATTTACCTCATATCAGTCTCATTGTGAAAGTCGTAGGCTCTTTAAGTCTGCACTGATCATTCCTTACCACACAAATTGATTTAATGATTTATTTACTAACTAATTAAAAATGATAACACAAGATACAAACACATACATGGTATAGGTAGGGATTAGAAACTTAATACAATGAAAATGGGTCCCTAGCGGACTAACACAATATGACACTTGTTACAAAAGATGGTGAGTTAAAGAGAGACAGAAATACTTGGATACACATGGACCTAAGCTCATAGTAATCCTAATACTTTGCCAGATACTGCGGCCCAATTGGTAAGAAGTAATGCATGTATTTACGTGTTTGTCTTTGTCGTCTCTGTTGGACCCAGGCCTTTGTGGGAAGGGTCGATTGGGCCTTCTCTTTTCGGATGGCCTTTTAGATGTAAGGCTCAGATGTAAGGCTCAGATTGTACACAAGAGGTCACAATGTCCTTCTTAGTCATCTGTTTACTTTCACTCATTCTGGAAGTGGTCTTCTGAGGACGGCAGCCGTGTGGATGATCCCCTGTGGGGTGATGAGAGCAGTGTAGTAGACGATGGTTTGAAGAGAGTAACAGGATGGTCCCACTTAAATTCACCTTCTTAGATACAGTACTTAGAACAGCTACTCAGCCGTAACATTGATTGTTAGTGGAGGCAACTTTGTCATCTTCACCTCATGTTGATTTTCAGGGTCGGGACCAATATGGACAACAGCTGCAGCTTGAGGTCCGTCTAGTCTTATCTGATAATTCTTATCTCAGTCTTTTATGCACTCTGGTAAAGAGGGGCGTTTCCGTCATACTAACACGCTCTCAGAGCTCCCTCGGGCGTGGCTAGTTACGAGGCAAAAGTGTTATTATCTATATGATTTTGTAAGAAAGCTAAAATCACATTCTTATCTTCACGGAAACATTGTCTTCCTCCTTGATATTTTCTACACAAGGTAAAGGATGTAAACCTGATATTCACAGTGTAAAAGTTATTAAAGTCACAATGTTTTCGTTATAACGCCTTTTATACAATTTTTAATGACATCACAAAATATACATACATTTTCCATATTCCATTTCTCATCATTCCCAACATTTAGATGTTGAAATATATTGTTGTTGGATGTTGAAGTTTTGGGCGGAAGAAGTCTCTGAAACAAAGGACATTCCTTTCACCATACTAGGGCCAGAGACAGGAGAATCTATCTCTAATTTATGACCGTATTAAGGTGTCAAGACCGTGGGATAGTGGGTCTGGTTGTTGTCGGACATTGTCTTGGCTGATATGAGGCCTTTGATCCTCACCCAGGGAGAGTCATGACAGTTGTTTTGTGTTTTTTTGTCTGTTTCACTGATATCAACGATGCCTCACCTTGTCCACACAGGTATTGCCCCACCTGTAAGAAGCACCAACAAGCCACGAAGAAGTTTGACTTGTGGTCGTTGCCTCGCATCCTGGTGGTCCACCTGAAGCGCTTCTCCTACAACCGCTGCTGGAGGGACAAGCTGGACACGGTTGTGGACTTCCCTGTCAGGTACAGACAACACTATGCCAAGAGGTAGAACTGCTCTAACTGACAGATACGTGTCCTCTTTTAGTTAATTTATTTGCACAAATAGAAAGAGTTTGTAACAGTAAAAGTCAAGCTACTGGGGATGTTGGACAGTAGGTACCTCTTTATTTTATTTTTTTAACAATGACGGGGATAGCGTGGCAAACTCAGGCGGGAGTGAGTGCCAGATTATAGGGCCTCTGTAGGTAATTCAGAATGGGGTTGTTCTGGAATGTGGGGGACGTAGCTGTTGTCTATTTCTTGTTGAGTACTTATGGAATTCATATGTGGTGGTGAAATAGATTTTGAAGAAAGAGGGTCAAACTGATTTAAAGAGCCGTAAACAAATTGAGCAACTTGAAGATAATTCATTTTATAAATATTCAATATTTTTTTTAAAGTGGTGTGCTGAATGGTCTAGGGATGGGCGTGAGTAATCGAGGATTCAAACCAAGTCAAAACTCGATCTTTACCAGAGATAATAAAATACTGTAAAACTATTTGGTTTAAATGTTGTTTTGAAGACAACTTTAATTTACTTTGACTCTAGTGTTCTATTTGTACATGTGCGTTGCGGGACACAACAAAAAATAAGCCAAGCGTCACACAGTGCTGCTCTTCAAATTCCCTTTCCCCTCCATGTCCCATTCACTCAATTGTGTTCCTAACTCTCCCTCTACACATGCGTGCTGTGTGCGCCTACAGAAATAAATGCCTATACAAATGTATGTAACTGATTGGATACACAAGCTACATTCCTTGCCAAATTACGAAAGTTTTATCACAAATTCTAAATGGACTGGTTGACTGAAGTAGGGAAATATGTGTTCCAACAATGAGCTGCTGTTTTGGAATGTTCATCATTTTCCGCTTGGGCTACTTTGCGGTTGTCTTTAGTTAGCAAGCCGCAAAGTCAAAATTGGCTATATCGTAAAAATTCATGAAAACAAAAATGTGCGTTTTAAGCCTAGGCCTGCTCACCAAATGGATGTCCTGGCCATAATTCATCCCCATGCAGTGTTCAATGTAGAATTGTTAATCCATTTAGAAAATTCCAAGGAACAGGCAGAATAAACTAGATCTAACGTCGGTATATCGAAAAGAAGACCGTTTTTGGTTTGTAACCTTGCCAAATTGAGTCCCGTTTCAAATGATCAATAAATTATAAATTATTCACATTAAGATGGGACATTGTCTCTGCTCTTTATTCTTTTTGGACTTTGAGAGGTCAAATTATGAAAGCATCCTTTTGATTTTGTAGTCAACTTTTATGGACCCAAGGTATTGACAGCTTTTACACTAGAGGGTGCTGGTTTGCTAGATATGTCAGAAAATGGACACTGTCTTTGTCCATTTGAGGAAGTCATGGTCACATATTTGAGAAGTGGGTCTAAACTGTCAGGGAAATTGACGTCAAGCTCCAACAGACAAAGAGCATATGTGGTTATAATTGCATCCGGTAATAACTGCTCACAAGCGGATTTCACAATCACAAAAAAGCCCTTTCAACTAAACTAGTAATTTTAATGTATTTTCCATTAGCAGAATACCCAACTTATTCCCCAGGTTGGGAACATGAAGCTAGTGAAATGCTGTGCTGTGGTATAAAAGCAACCTGTGTGGAGGTTGTCTGGCTGAATGCCTGGGAGCCTCCCTGGGCTGTGTTCACTGACCCCTACTGAGTCACACAGGAAGTATAACTAAATGTAACTGACATAGACAAGCACTGCTGCTTCCAAGAACATGACTCATGCTTACTGGGGAGGTTTGAGACAGACAGAGCCATATGTTGTACCTCAACCCTCTCACCAACATATCAGCGGAAGTACTGGCTGATCACCATCCCCCATACTGGGTTCAGTGTTGATGACATGTCCAATATGAATCACATTTGATATAATAAAAAATGGCTTTCAGTACAGCCCTGTTGCTTATGTGTCTAGCTGTCAGTCCAAGTTGTTGTCTGTGGGTGTAAAGGCAGGTTTTGCTGATGACATGTCTTCTCTCTCCACACAGGGACCTGAACATGTCTGGGTTTGTGTGTGACCCCAAGGCCGGCCCCTATGTTTATGACCTCATAGCAGTCTCCAACCACTATGGAGGAATGGGAGGAGGCCACTGTGAGTAATGGTTGCTTCTGCCAGCAACACCCAGGCTAGGTCCATCCTAATTGCAGACCTAGATAATGAGATACACAGTACACACACCCTACCCCACCCACATTAATGACACAATCAGCTCTCACTTTGTTACATTTCAAATAACTGTTTACCTGGGAAATAGTGCTCAGCGATTAGTGCTTTTTGAGGTCGGTTCGGAGTCAATTATTTAAAAAAAATCACGGATTTCGGTTTCAATATTTTTCTTTTACAATAAATGCACTATGCATTATGTGGGTTAAATGCTGTAACAACACAGAATAAAGCAATTAATAAAAGTCCCATGATGGTAGTGACTGTCCACTACTGCTTATTACTTATTAACCATAATTTAGTCACATATTTCAGTTGTGTATATATTACATTAGTTTTATTTGATTACTTTATTATTTCATTCCATCATCATCTCATCTCTATAGAGCTGCTGCCTATGCTGTCTGACAAAATAAAATAAAAAAAAGTTATTCAAAGTAAATAAGGCATACTTTTATGACTGCTGAATACCAACTATCAATCACTTAGATCATGTATTTTCAGGTAGAGATGCCTCACAAAGCATCTGCTATCCCTCTCGATCGCACGTCTTCTGTCTCTTCTCTCCCTCTGTGTCTGCCCACATACTGAACAAGTAGGCACGCAATGGATTATGGTCATTGTAGTTAATTACCACGTTTCCTGCGCTAAACTATGTAGAATATTGGCCTGTTGGAAACAACTCCCTACTACATCGCACAGTCAGGGCTTGATCTGATTTATCTCTGGAGAAACTGTGCATTGAACTCATAGAAAAAAAACAATGACATTTTTTTAGTTGTTTAAAAACTCAAATAACCGACATTTTGGGTAATCGCTCTGCAATGCTGGGAAAACGGATAACAGAACAGTAGGCTGAAAGGGAGGTTTAACTGCCGGTGATCGGAGGCCATTGTTCTTCTTATATTTACTCTGTTCCTGTTATTTGAATACTACTATCTGCTGACAAAGGTATTTGTTTTAGTACCTGGTAACCTGAAGCAGGTCAACCATGCAGAATGTATGTTAACAGATAAGGTGTCTGGCTTACACCTTTTCTCTAAGGAAACTGAGCTTATAATCAGCAGTATTTAATTAGAATGTTGGTTCCCACTTACTCGTTTAGTGTCAACTTTGATATCAATTTTGATTTGCTCAAACCTTTTCATGTATTTTAGCCAAGCTCTTGTTTGGTGGTGACTACCCAGGCCTGCTAGTGGAAACCAGTTAATCAGATATTCATCCTAGCTCAACTTTAGATCCCCATGACCATAGTTTTATAATGTTCCTCCAATATCTTGTACCTGCAGACACAGCCTACGGCAAGAACAAAGCTGATGGGAAGTGGCATTACTTTGATGACAGCAGTGTCTCGGCTGCCTCAGAGGATCAGATTGTGGTGAGTGAGCCACCTCAACCCTTACTTTCATGTGTAACTCTGCATATGACGTTTTTGAAACTTTGATTATGTATAAACATTTCTATTGCGTGTGACTCGTTATTACCCATTTGAAAAACGATACACTGAGTATACAAAACATTAAGAACACCTGCTCTTTCCATGACATAGACTGACCAGGTAAATCCAGGTGAAAGCTATGATCATTTATTGATGTCACTAGTTAAATCCACTTCAATCAGTGTAGATGAAGGGGAGGAGATGGGTTAAAGAATGGTTTTTAAGCCTTGAGACATGGATTGTGTTTGTGTGCCATTTGAGGGTGAATGGGCAAGACAAAATATTTAAGTGCCTTTGAACGGGGTATGGTAGTAGGTGCCAGGCACACCGGTTTGTGTCAAGAACTGCAACGCTGCTGGGATTTTCACGCTCAACACTTTCCCGTGTGTATCAAGAATGGTCCACCACCCAAAGGACATCCAGCCAACTTGACACAACTGTGGGAAGCATTGGAGTCAACATGGGCCAGCATCCCTATGGAACGCTTTCGACACCCTGTAGAGTCCACGCCTCGACTAATTGAGGCTGTTCTGAGGGCCGGTGGTGTGGGGTGCAACTCAATATTAGGAAGGTGTTCCTAATGTTTGTTATACTCAGTGTATGTTGTTCCATGTGTCCAGTGTTTATTAATAAATAACGTCAGCAGTGATGAAAGCTCCCATTTACTTCCTGTTCTTTGGTGTTGTCAGTGCTGCTGCAGTGTAACTCTATCCCCTCCTCTCCTCTCTACAGACAAAAGCAGCCTACGTGCTATTTTACCAACGCAGAGATGCGGGCGACGCCCCTGCCAAGCTTCCTCCCTCTGCCTCTCTGGGGGGTGCCACCACTGAAGCAGCCGATGATCACATGGATACCAACTGAGCAGCGCTGATGCTCAGGGACACTCACTGAAGCAAAAATAATGACGAAAGAGACACTTTGATGCACACACCAAGCTACTTCAGTGACATAAGACTTCTCAGAGTCTATATTATTAACTCCCCCCAGCCCAGTACCCGCTGTGTTTTATTTTATTTTGCTCGTACATCGTCACAAAGAGTCCAAAGCCTTGTTGGATACGTGACCCGCGAGACTTCCTCCCGGAGCTGGTGGCCTGCTGATGTATGAAACCTAGTTTACTGGTTTGTAAAAAATAAGGGGAATAAAAGGCAAATAATCCTCTCACTGGACGAACAGAATGTTAGATGTGCCCTAAAATGCATAGGTATTATTAACACAAACTTTTCTGTTACCCACTAGAAAAGTAAAAAAACACACAAAAAAAGCAGAATGCGCATCTTGTTTCTACCAAAGCGTTCGAAATTGTACATCGTAAAGAACTGTACCAACTTCACTGACAGACTGGGGGAAGGAGAAACATGCCCTTGAGTTGTCTGTGATGATAACCCTCCAGTGCAGGGGTGAATTTATGCAAAATTGTATTTAATATTGAGATGTGCACACAATTCAACACATGATACTGATGGATCCTGTGACTTTCTACCTCCTGTGAAGAATGGATCCAGTTAGAAAGTCACGCTGGAGGTGTTCCTTCTACACACACACAGAGAAACAGACACACTCAGGCCCTCTCATTTTAGTCTTCCTCTGGGTTGGCTTGCAGGGCCTGTGTCCACAGTAGATAGTGTTTAGTTGATCAAGGTCCTGTTTACTGGGCCTTGATGTAAGCTGTGGCAGAGGCTATTTATTTTCATAGACATGAGTTCAGTCAGACCTTAGCGCCTGCTCTTTATGAAGCCCAGCATGCTAACTCTCACTCATACACTCCCCTCTGTATTTATTTGGACAGTGATGCTAAAATGTGTAAATTTGGCTCTATACTCCAGCATTTTGGATTTGAGATCAAATGTTTCATGAGGCGACAGTACAGAATGTCACCTTTTTATGAGGGATTAATCATACATCTGTTTCATCATTTAGAAATTAAAGCACATTGAGTCTAGTGTATTAAAGTAGTCAAAAGTTTAGTATTTGATCCCATATTCCTAGCACGCAATTACATCAAGCTTGTGACTAAAAACTTGTCGGATTTGCTGTTTGTTTTGTTTTTGTTTAGTATTATGTTTTGCCCAATAGGAACTGAATGGTGAATAATGTATTGTCATTTTGGAGTCACTTTTATTGTAAATAACAATATAAGATGTTTCTGAACACTTCTACATTAATATGTATTCTACCATGATGATTATGGTTAATTATCAGTGAGACCGAGGAACAAAGAGCATACACCCCAAAAAATGCTAACCTTTCACCATTACCAATAACAGGGGAGGTTAGCATTTTTAGGGGGTATGATCTTTGGAGGGGGAAAAAAATCAAATGGGACTAGATGTATAGTGCTTTCATTTCTAAACGGTAAAACATATGTATGAAAATACCCTCAAATAAAAGGTGACATTCTGAACTGTTGCCTCATGACAATTTTTAACTCAAATCCAAAATACTGGAGTAGAGAGCCAAATGTACAAATGTTTGCTTCACTGTCCAAATAAATACGGTGGGAAGTGCACCCCTTGCTCTCTGAGATAAGTCTCATCCTGATAAAGATGTGCTGCTCCCCCTTGTCACACAAAAGCAACAGTGGCCTTTTAATCCTACAACTTGTTTAAAAGGAGGCACTTTGAGTTTTACTTTAGTCGCATCTGGAATTTTAAATATGTATGTACGACGTGGCGAGGCCCTGACCATTCGTACATTTCTAGATAATAGGGCTGTACTTTCAAGCATATTTGATTGCTGACTGAATGGACCTCCCAACTGCCCCGCTATGGCTTGTCCTTAGGCTACCTGTCCTGTGTGGTATTACAGTCCTACATTGAAATTGCTTTTGTTTTTTCTTAAAAGCACACTGCGTGAAGCAAAATGTGATATGTATGAAAGTGGTGCTAAATTTATGAAACTTGAAATTGTTGCTGTTCGTGATAAGGCTCCAATCCGTTGTTAAATAGAATTTGGACAGCAATAACTTAAAGGCGTCCTCAGTGTGTTTAGGACTGCAGGCATCTGTGTTCTCCCACCAATGGACTCTGACAACCAATCAGCTGTTAAATAAAATATATGATGGTGACATGACAGCTTGCTCGTCAATGGATGGAATGAGGACTCTTACAAATCGATCTGCTTGTATGTTGTTAGACGGTTGCTACGTAGCACTATATTTTTCACTGACACTTAAATGTGTCCCACTGAGTACTAGTAGTCTTCAGTGATAGCTGTTCAGCTTGTGCGGGCTAGTGGTGGCAACACAATACATGATGGCAGGAACCAGTGTCTCTGATACCACCTACTCCAGACTCAACACCCTGACCCTACTGTAATATTTCACTACATTGCCAAGTGTCTTGTAAAGGTTGATACAAGACACCAGTAACCGGACCTATACAGTATATGGCTCTGCCAGTATCTACTTCATGGATCAATTTCCCATAAGATAAATTCTAGCTCTGTGGCATCTGTCTTGTGCTTTTTTCATGTGGCACAACAGCATGTAAATGTCTTTGGGACTGCAGATATCATACTTGCTGGTCAGTCCCTCTCTGATTATGCCCTCCTAAGATGATTACATTATTAATATAACCATATTTATGCCAATGAATAGAAAAGCCTTATATCATATCTGTAATTATTATTCTACAGCAAATGAAAAAGACATCCAGCTGTCCAAAACCGATCGTATTTTAAAGTTTATTTTCTTTACAATCCTCATTAGAAACTTAATTTTGCTGTCAAATATCTTGAATAGATGTAAATATCAAATCAGTTTGTTCCCATACACATATTTGCAGGTGTTACCGCAGGTGCAGCGAAATGCTTATGTTTCTAGCTCCAACAGTGCAGTAATGCCTAGCAAAACAATACGCATAATCCAAAATAATGAAATTAAGAAATATCAGAACGAGCAATGTCAGTACCAGTCAAAAGTTTGGACACAAGGGTTTTTCTTTATTTTTACTATTTTCTACATTGTAGAATAATAGTGAAGACATCAAAACTATGAAATAACACATATGGAATCATGTAGTAACCAAAAAAGTGTTAAAGAAAAAAAAATATATATATATTTTAGATTCTTCAAAGTAGCCACTCTTTGCCTTGATGACAGCTTTGTACACTCTTGGCATTCTCTCAACCAGCTTCACCTGGAATTATTTTCCAACAGTCTTGAAGGAGTTCGCACATATGCTGAGCACTTGTTGGCTGCTTTTCCTTCACTCTGCGGTCCAACTCATCCCAAACCATCTCAATTGGGTTGAGGTCGGGTGATAGTGGAGGCCAGGTCATCTGATGCAGCACTCCATCACTCTCCTTCTTGGTCAAATAGCCCTTACACAGCCTGGAGGTGTGTTGGGTCATTGTCCTGCTGAAAAACAAATTATAGTCCCACTAAGCACAAACCAGATGGGATGGCGTATCGCTGCAGAATGCTGTGGTAGCCATGCTGGTTAAGTGTGCCTTGAATTCGAAAAAAATCACTGACAGTGTCACCAGAAAGCACCCCCACAGAATCACACCACCTCCTCCATGCTTCACGGTGGGAACCACAAATACATAGATAATCCGTTCACCTACTCTGCGTCTCTCAAAGACACAGTGGTTGGAACCAAAAATCTCAAATTTGGTCTCATCAGACCAAAGGACAGATTTCCACCGGTCTAAAGTCCATTGCTTGTGTTTCTTGGCCCAAGCAAGTCTCTTCTTCTTACTGGTGTCCTTTAGTAGTGGTTTATTTGCAGCAATTCGACCATGAAGGCCTGATTCACGCAGTCTCCTCTGAACAGTTGATGTTGAGATGTGTCTGTTACTTGAACTCTGTGAAGCATTTATTTGGGCTGGTAGCTAATAAACATATCCTCTGCAGCAGAGGTAACTCTGGGTCTTCCTTTCCTGTGGCGGTCCTCATGAGAGCCAGTTTCATAATAGCGCTTGATGGTTTTTGCAACTGCACTTGAAGAAACTTTCTGTATTGACTGACCTTCATGTCTTAAAGTAATGATGAGCTGTTCTTGTCATAATATGGACTTGGTCTTTTACCAAATAGGGCTATCTTCTGTATACCACCCCTACCTTGTCACAACACAACTGATTGGCTGAAACGCATTAAGAAGGAAAAAGATTCCACAAATTCTCTTTTAACAAGGCACACCTGTTAATTTAAATGCATTCCAGGTGACTACCTCATGAAGCTGGTTGAGAGAATACTAAGTGTGAAAGCTGTCGTCAAAGCAAAGGGTGGCTACTTTGAAGAATCTCAAATATAAAATATATTTTGATTTGTTTAACACTTTTTTGGTTACTACATGATTCCATATGTGTTATTTCATAGTTTTTATGTCTTCGCTATTATTCTACAATGTAGAAAATAGTAAAAATAAAGAAAAACCCTGGAATAAGTAGGGGTGTCCAAACTTTTGACTGCTACTGTATATATATAATGGTGTGTATAGACAGTATGGACAGTATATGAATAGAAAAGGTGTGTCCAGCAATAGTTATATAGAATGAGCCATGACTATAATACAGTATTTACATATAAAGTGGGTAAAACAGTATGTAAACATTATTTAAGTGACCAGTGTTCAATGACTATGTACATGGGGCAGCAGTCTCTAAGGTGCAGGGTAGACCGGGTGGTATCCGGCTAGTAACAGTTACTAAGGTTCAGGGCAGGGTACTGGGCAGAGACTGGCTAGTGGCCACTGTAATAAAAACACTATTTCAAAAATAGGTACTTAACTGTGTTCTAATATGAATCATATTGCCAATATCTGCAATATTTATTTTTAATGGAGAATTATTTGGATTGAAAATACAATAAAGTCTAATTGCTTTTCAGAACAGTAAGAATTTGAAAAAATAAGAGGTATTGCATCACATTAGACATTCTTGCTTAAATTACTAGTTTATTGCATAAGTGCATACGGTTATTCACCATATCTTTAGGCAATAATGTGATGCAACCTGAAATTGCATCCATTTCCTTGTAGGGTTTTTTTTTACAGAATAACTTCCTGGAGTCGTTGAGAATGAACCACTAAACAAATGGCATTCAAAGTGTCTAAGCAAATGAAACAACCGTGCACTTCTCTTTTCCTACTAGCACCGACTTTGCTCATAACATCTTTGAGAAAAAATTTACTTATGACTGTGATATATGGTTGTCTCACCTAGCTATCTTAAGATGAATGCGCTAATTGTAAGTCGCTCTAGATAAGAGCGTCTGCTAAATGACTAAAATGTTAATATTATGATATTTCCTCCCTCTTCAGACCATTTAAATACACCCCCCCTTTTTGGCTCAGGTGCAGATCTAGAATCAGCAGCTTCCCCTCCCCCAATCCTTACCTTAACCATAAGCGGGGGAAATGCTAAACTGACCCAAGATCAGCGTCTAAGGGCAACTTCACCCTACACCACATTTTTGCTCATGTTGCCACACTTTCACATTTGACCTGAGCATTAATCACATGAAACTCCTGTAAAATACTATGAAGACTGACACAAGAAATACAATGATAAAAAGAATACATTTATTTGGGCAACTTGTTACATTAAAACACAGTCCTGCTTTACATGGGCCCAATGCAACTGTTATGTTAAGACTTTTACATTTCATCAGACATCCCTCTCACAAAAGTATTGGTTTCAATGGATGCCTTCATTTAATAAAAGTTCAGAACACAGCAGCATTTTGCATATGAAAGCACGGCACATGATTTGAAAAGATCATGGGTGTGCTGCTGTCACACAGAGGCTAAGCTTGTAAGGAGGAGGAAGTATTTATTGAATGGTGAGCTGTTGAAAGTTGTTTCTTTTTGAGTTATGGCCAAGGACATTTCCCAAAGTGTGACAATTCTTTATAATTTGAAAAGCCATCACATCTCATATTGGCATGATTTCCACTCCCCACCATTGCCTCTGTGTGACCAACACAGGGACTGTTTAGTTTGCCCTATTGAGAAGCTCCTTGATGTCACCCTCAATGTTGCTGGTCAGGAATCTCCTGCCATAACGCTTGAATGGCTCTCCATCTGGCCCAATGAGGAACTTCTCAAAGTTCCAGGCGATGTCAGTCCTGCAGATGGGACTCCAGATGATGCACTTGGGGTCGTTCATTAAGGCCATGGGCTCGTCGCTTGGGAATGGCAGCTTCTCCTTGAGGTACACAAACAGGGGGTGGGCGTCCTTCCCATTCACATCCACCTTCTCAAGGAGCTGGAACTTCGGCTCAAAGCCATTTCCCGGACGGACATACTTTAAGGACATCAGGATCTCTTCGTTCTTGCAGTTCTCCTGCAGGAGTAGATGGGAAGAATATGTAACATGTACAGCAAAAGTTTGTTAGATGTTTGATCTCAAAAGTGGCCTAATATCAAGTTGAGTCCATTGTCAAAAGCCATAGGTAGAACCCTCAATAAAATTGGATGGACACCATCTAATTTCATTATTGATAGTGCCCATCTTTCCCCTTCATTAGGAATTGAGACAAGGCCATGGCAAAATGAGTAAATTATGTGAAATTACTTATAAAATTGCCTCTCAGCTACAGCAACCAAAGTGATAATGGCTGGGTCATTTTTGCTTGTTTTTGCTCTTCTCAAAACAGAATGGGGGGGGGGGGACAGGGGGGGGGACAACATATTTAGAATGATAAGAAAATGTATCCCCTCTTACCTGATGTCCGAATTGATTACAGGGCACACCCAGAATCACGAGCCCCTTGTCGGTGTACCGTTCATGGAGCTCGTTCATCTGGGTGTAATCCCTGGTGGTCGTGCCTCAGAGAGACGCGACATTCTCGATCAGCACCACTTTACCTTGAAGAGACGAGAAATTAAACAATTCTCCTGTAAGGAGCTTTGCTGTCAGGTCGTAGAACGTCTTACATACAGCCATTTACCTTGTATATGTCACCCCGCTGCTTCTGTCTGCGAAAAAGGTCTGTCGGACTTTTGAATACAAGGTACCTACACGGAAATGGGAGGTACTTCATGAACATTTTAGGGACCGTCTAGAAATATTGGGATATTTTGTATTAAAATCGCACGAGAATGCGTTATCCAGGACAAATAACTAAATTATATACACTTGAAGAATACAATACGATAAAATTATAATGACACCCTTGGACGTCTAAAGTAGAGACGTAGTAGACCACTAGAGTTTCACAGGCTTGACATTATACAAGGTCTCTTCCTGCATTGCAAAAACACTGGCGCGGGAATCCTGTACTTTGACAAGAGTTGCTCTCACCAGTTCTTACGACGCGGTGAGTTGCCCAGCTAGAGAAGGTTAGAGGAGTAGGTGGGATAAATCGTTGAAAAACAAACTAACTTTACTCGGCGTGGCGGCGGTTCCGCACAGCTGTGCTGTGACTGGGTCAGAGATGGTAGGAGAGAGCAGGGACGGCTTGTTCAATAGGCGATATGGGCGACGCACTGCCACGGAAAAGGAAGGGATTTTTTTTCTAATCAATTATTTAAAAAAAAATTAAATAATTTTTTTTTTTTTTTTTTTATAAATTATAAAAAATGTTCAAGTGAATGTTCAAAGATTGCAACCAACAAGGGGTGGAGTTAGGGTAGATAGCACGTCTATTCTGTTATATTTCAAGGACTTGGTACTGCCAAATAAAGTAACAATAGGATAAAGTAGTTATTATGTAAGGGCTTATGTACCGAAGCCTTTAAGATGTTATAAATGCCAGAAGTTTGGGCATGTGGCAACAGTCTGTAAAGAGAAAAAGAGGTGTTCCAGGTGTGGAGGAGAGCATGAGTATGGGAAGTGTGGAGATGGTGTACAACCAAAGTGCTGCAATTTTGGGGGTGCTCATAGTGTGGCATATAGTGGGTGTGAGGCTATGAAGCAGGCAGTGGAGGTGCAACAAGTGAGAGTGGAGAGAAGGGTGTCATATGCTGAGGCAGTGAGGGTGGTCCAGGTCCAGGGAGATATAGGTTCAAGGGAGAGATGGGTAGGAGCATCTAGACCGGGGATTACGGGAACATTGATTGTGTGCAGGAAGCATGGCTCAAACCGACTGTAGAGTTTATCATACAGGGATATGTAGTGGTTCGTAGGGACAGAGATATAGGAGGAGGGGGGGATGTGCCACCTTCATAAAGCAAGGAATTCCCTACAGGATGATAGGCAAAGGTATTGAACATGAATATGTGTGGTGGAGGTGTGGTTCAGAGGAAGGGTGCTAGTGGTAGTGAACTACTATAATCCGTGCCAGATATTGGACCTGGAAGTGCTGGAGAGGGAGGAGGGCCAGGATAGAAGTAAGGTAATGTGGTGTGGGGATTTTAATGCCCACAACACGCTTTGGGGGTGGGAAACGGATGGATGGAAATGGCCAAGTGCTGGAAAATCTGATAGAAAATAAAGATCTAATGTGCCTGAATGATGGCCGAGGGACCAGGATTGATGTAGCCACAGGGAAAGAGTCTGCCTTGGACCTCACTCTGGTATCTAGTGCGATGGCAGGAATATGTGAGTGGGCGGTATGGAAGGAGTCGACAGTAGGGAGTGATCATTACCCCATAGTATGCACAGTAGGCCGGAGGGAGGAGGTGGTGTCAGTGGATGGAGTAGGTAGGTGGGTGTTTGGAAGGGCAAAGTGGGATCAGTTTCGGGAGCTGAGTGAGCAGGTGATGGCTCAGGTGGATATGAGAGGGATGTGGATAGTATGAATAGCTGGGTGAGAACAGCGTTAGTGGGGGCAGCTACTGAGGCTATACCTAAGAGTTCAGGGAGGAGGAAAGCAGTCCCATGGTGGACGGAGGAATGTGGGGCAATGGTGAGGAGTAGGAACAGGGCATTTAGAGTACTGAAAAGGACGCATAACTTCCAACATCTGATTCAGTACAAGCAGGCCCAGGCCCTGGTGAGGAGAACTATCCGTCAGGCAAATAGGTCATGTTGGCATCGGTTCTGTGCCACCATTGTAAGGGTGACACCTGTGGGAGAAAGTGTGGGGGATGATTAAGAGGATGAGTGGGATATCCGTGTTTGACAAGTGGGTAGGATGTGGCAGTAACAGATAGGGAGAAGGCAGAGATGATGGCCAAAGCATTTGTCCAATTGCTAGCTCCACAAATTTGTCAGAGGTGGGGCAGAGGGGGAGAGAGAACACGAGAGAGGAGCATCCTGGAGTGCTGGATAGGAGGGAGGATGTAATGATGCATTGAATGCACCATTTACCATGGCAGAGATGAAAAGAGCAATAGGTAAGGCTAGGTTAACTTCACCTGGGACAGATGAGGTGTACTATGTTATGTTGGCCCATCTTAGTGATGAGGCACTGGAATAAGGTATTGGTGTTTGTAACAACAGAGTGTGGGAGGAGGGGAAACTACCAGGCAGTTTGGAAGGAGGCAGTAGTGGTACCAATCCGGAAGCCCAGGAACGATCCAACAAGGCCAACAAGCTATCGGCCAATAGCTTTAACATCACATGTATGTAAGATTATGGAACGTATGATTACGGAGAGGCTGACTTACTTCCTGGACGAGCAGAGGGCTAGTATTGCCACATCAGCGTGGGGTTTCAGGAGGGGTAGTGGAACTATGGATCCAGTGCTTTGCTTAGAAGCAGAGGTCAGGAAGGCTCAGGTGAAGAATGAGACTGGTTGTAGCTGTATTTTTTTTATGTGGAAAGGCGTATTATATGATGTGGAAGGAGGGGTTGTTAATCAAGCTTGATTAGGGGGTAGAGGAAGAACGTACAACTGGATAAAGGATTTCCTGTTTGGGAAGGTCTATCCAGGTGAGGGTGGTGAAAGTCTTTATCAGGCAGCTACCTGGTGGATAACGGTACACCCACAGGGGAGCGTGATTAGTCCTCTGTTGTTCTCAATTATGATCAATGATGTTTACTCTCAGTATAGCCGGATATAGGGAGGTCATTATTTGCAGATGATGGGGCCTTATGGAAGAGGGGAAGAAATGTGCCATACATAGTCAGGAAGGTACAGGAAGCAATTGATGAGGTAGAGCGGTGGGCATTCATGTGGGGATTCAGGTTCTCTGTAGAGAAAACTCAAACCGTGTTCTTTTACCAGGATGAAGGTGGGAGATGAGGTATGCTTGAGGTTATATGGGGAGAAACTTGGAGAGGGGTGGGGGGCTTTCAGGTTCCTTGGGGTATACTTTACACTAGACTGACCTGAGCAGAACATATTGAAGAGTGGTGGGAAGTGTAAAAAGGTGCAAAAGTGATCGTTGTTGCGGGAAAGGGGTGGGGGGGGTGGGGGGTTTTTCCCTTGAAAACCATTATTTTTCATTGATCCACTGTAAAAACTAGCAGTATAGCTATGGGGCGGGGCCCGGACCCATTGGGGGGAAAAACTAATGTCTACAGGGGGAAGGGCTCGAAATGTGGGGGCGTTTTGGACGTCCCCCCTGGCGCATTAAAGTTGGGGATGGGGATTGCCTTTGCAGATTAAGGGGAAAACACGGGAAAGGGAAATTATTGGGTCAAATACAAGGGCTGGGGTGTCCCCCCTTGAAAGGGGTTTTTAAAGGGAAAGCTGGGAAAGAGCGAAGAGAGAAAACCCACTTTGGGTGGGGGGGTAATACCCGGCGAAGGAGATGGGACTGTAGGAAGGGGGCTTAGTCCAAGGGACTTTTCCCGAAATCCACCCCGCTACTTCCCCCCTCCAGTATTGATCTAGAAGTGTTGGAAATCACGGCAACACAGTTATCAGTGTTTCACGTCTGATCTGCCAGCCACTAAATGTCAAATCAGGCTAAAGTCGTGCTTCAAATGGCCCCGCCCGTTTTTTGGGCGATTTCAGTCAGGTTGAAAATCGCCCAGAAGTCTGTCATAGACTCCCATGTAAAATCTAGTTTTGTCACATTTCAAAGCTTTCAATACATTCTCTATGGGTGTCTGTGGGCTTGCACTTACGCGCTTTCGTCATACATAACGTAACCACGAATGAACGTAACTAAGAAAAGACCAGGTAGCAGCCTCATTCAATTCACTACTACTATCAAAATGGCTAGGCTTCAGTCCAACTCGATTGTGTCTTTGAAAGAAGTTCCTTTTTGTCTGCGAACAAATGAAGATAAATTGGCAACGAAACAATTAGGACCCCCCAGACCAAATTTAATAATTCAACAGGTGTCTACTAAAGGGGGGAAGTCCTACACCCGAGGATTTTCCAAAAATTGGTATGAACGGAAAACCTGGCTAGCAGGCTGCGATGTAGCTAATGCAGTTTTTTGCTACCCCTGCTTACTCTTCCACCCTGAAGGCGGCACAGCAGACAGCACCGCTTGGACAGCGACTGGTGTAACCGACATGCACCATCTTTCAGAAAAGATTAAGAAAAATTAGCTGTCAAAGACCCACATATAGCTGTTTGAGATTGTCTGCTTTTGGGAGAGTGAATATTGCCACTCAACTGGATGAGGGATACAGGCTAGCTGTCCGCCGCCACAACGATGAGGTTAGCAACAGCAGAGTCGTGAACACTGTCTACGAGAATCGAGACGACCTCATATAATGTTTTGAAGCCATCCGGACGGGTTCATTGGGTTCATTTGACCAGCACACCTTGAGAGAGGCAGCTGGCTACGTGAGGATACTACATGATGAAGATTTAATTTTTTTCCTGCGGCTTTTTCACAAAATCATGCCCCACGTCGACATTCTGTACCAGAAGCTACAGAAGAAGGACATCGATGCTGTCTCTATCAAACGTGCCCTCGACAGCTTCACAAGCAAGTGCAGGCCATAAGGTAAGATTAAACAGATATCAAAAAATGTGGTAAAAGCTCTTGTTGATCCTGCAATCTGAACAAATACCAAGATGCTGTATTTTCAGCTGATATTTCATTTGTTTATGGAAATGCATATTGTTTATGCAGTGTTGAGGAATGTGAAAGAAC